TCCCTTTCTCAATTTATTCTCCTTTGCACCTTCTCTCAAATGATTACTCTGCACACATTTTTCGTCTCCCTTTTACAACCAGTCCGACCAATTGTCTGCTGGTACGACACTTGAGGAACCCATCTGCACCACAGCCTTTGGAAGAAAAAACCATCAACACTTCCTACAAATTTAACTAACACCCAACCGCCCGTCGGGCTAACCAGAGCTACAGCAATAGAGTGAGTAGGCACACTGCATCGGAATCCACCGAAAACCTGATACCATTAAGCGAGACCTAGAAGCGAGCGCGAAGAAATCAGTCGCTTTACGCTAGCTCGTAAAAAGACAAAGAATATTGACTATTGAAAGATTTCTTAAGGCGGAATGTTTAGTTTCCGTCATATGCGTTTGTTGTTAACCCAGAAGTTATTCCCAAGTGTAATAGTGTCCCGTACAAAAATGCGTACTTTCTGTGCTTTACGAGCCTATACTTTCAGCGTAAAACTACGATCATAAATCTTTTCTGCTGTAGTTTGAAAGCTGAATTGACTTACTTTGGTTTTTGAGTATCATGCATCATACATAGGTGTATTTACATACATACTAGAAAATAGATGACTAACCAATACTCCGAACACCAATAAATGGCATGAAAGGTAACTCAATGAGACAGAGTATTTTATAAAACCTACAACTAGGTAACATATACGTACTTTATCAATCCCCATTACAACATAAAGAACAAGATATTCAGGAAAGAGACTCTTTTCAACGAATTCATTTTCAAGCTGTACATTCGTGTATATATCTATATGATATTAGAAAAATCATATCCCGTAAGGAAAACTAAACACTACAAGATGATGACAATAATAATCGAGAGGATAATGACAAGTAGATTAGGTAATATATGGAATGGTTTATCGAAAGTGGTAAATCAATTGAACATTACGTAATTGAATTAGACAAGTTGAATAGGATGAAATCAATGTTTTCTAAAAGGGTCAAGACAATTAAGTGAAATAACACCGGAAACTAATTAAAGTGAAGGCGATTGTAATAGCAACAATAGTGATAAAGGAAGGATACAAAGGCTTCATTTGTTAAACTAACAAAGTGTGTGTAGGGGGAGCTGATGGGGTGGGAAAATATTATGGCCATGATGAAATCAGTGACCACTGTACATACTTCTTTTGTACACACAGATCAGGTCTTAGTTCATGAATAGCCAAAGCCTCCGCTGTTTTAAGGAGTTGAAAACGAAGAGAATGTGGGAGGTTAAAGTCATTGTATGGATTTGTTGTGTGGTGGAAGTCAATCAAATGTCCTAGAATCGAACTTCTAACAGGCTTTCTTTCATCTTGATAAAACCAAGCAGGAACATGTTCTCGTATACGTGTAGAAAGCATTCTCTGGCTACGGCCGATGTACCTTGCTCCACAAGAGCAGGTGAACTGGTAGATGCACATAGAGGCGGCCAAACGAGGAAGCTTATCTATAACACAGGTGGAGAATAGGTCATGGCTGGTAAAAGTCAACTGAAGTCTTGCTGCGAAGAAAGCTCTATTAATTGATATGGTAAGACGATTCCTCAGTACATCCGATGCTAGGTCAACTTTAAACTCTAGGCTCATAAACAGTCTTTTCTTTGAGACCGAGTGGATGACCGGTTTATTGTTTCTTTCTAGTATATTTTTATCAATGAAACAGCTAGGGTAACCATTTTCGATAAGTGTGCTTTTTTTAGAAAGGTAGCTCTTCATCAATACAATCGTCACTACAGGTATTTCTCATTCGATAGCAAAGAGAGTGAATAAGACTTCTTTTTCTGTTGATGGGCATCCAACTGTAAAAATTAATTAGTTGTGAGTTCCACGTTGCTTTTCTGTAGATGGATCTTCTGAGGTATCCATTCTGACGTCGGGTGAGAAGCACATCAAGAAAACGACTAGTTGATTCTGATTCCTTCTGTATGGTAAACTTGAGGGCTTGATGACATTCATTGAATGAACAAAGAACATCGTCTAGATCAACATTTTTGTCACAAATAACAAACGTGTCGTCTATATATCTTTTCTAATAGTCAAAGTTATTAATAGTTTGATGAAGTTGTGAATTCTGTAGTTTCGACATAAAAAAGTCTCTTAATAGTGGTCCCAATGGTGACCCCATCGCAATCCCATCTTTCTGTCTATGGACTTCATTATTGAAACTGAATTGGACATTAAATGTGCACCTCAACGAAAGCTCTTTCAAGCAGCTAGTTGGTAGTCCTACGTCTAAATTATGTGCATCAATATAGTCACATACATAACAGACAGTCTCGGTGATTGGCACACTCGTGAACAAAGAAGTGAGGTGTGACGTCTAATGAAAACATCATCTTGTTTAAAGAATTAAAATCCTTAATAACCTCAACAAACTGAAATGTATCACGGATAGAAAAACTCGACACTTGCCTTCTAACAGGTTCCAGAATTTCAGCTAACCATTCAGCAGTTCGGTGATAAGGAGAACCAGCCATATCCAGGATCGGACGAAGAGGTAATCGCACTTTATGTATTTTCGGTAGTCCATATAGACGGGATTATAGAGCCAACTGGTCGGATACGTTCATATAAATCGGGGCCAATTATTGACTTGTCCCTCATGCTTTTTAAGACATTTGTGAGTTGTGTTTCAATTATATGTGTCTTGTTGGGCTCACCTTCGGGTTTTGTAAACTTAGTGAGATCAGAGAGAATTATGAAAAGATTATCAATATACTCCTGACGATTCATTAGGACAACGCCTCCTCCCTCATCAGGATGGTTTATGATATGGATTCTTCTAAGAGATATCCAGAACAGTTTCGGATATTCATTTCTATCAATAAAACTTTCGAAGAAAGTTAAAAGAAATCAAAGATAACGGTGATATTATCATAAATCATCCTGATGAGGGAGGAGGCGTTGTCCTAATGAATCGTCAGGAGTATATTGATAATCTTTTCATAATTCTCTCTGATCTCACTAAGTTTACAAAACCCGAAGGTGAGCCCAACAAGACACATATAATTGAAACACAACTCACAAATGTCTTAAAAAGCATGAGGGACAAGTCAATAATTGGCCCCGATTTATATGAACGTATCCGACCAGTTGGCTCTATAATCCCGTCTATATGGACTACCGAAAATACATAAAGTGCGATTACCTCTTCGTCCGATCCTGGATATGGCTGGTTCTCCTTATCACCGAACTGCTGAATGGTTAGCTGAAATTCTGGAACCTGTTAGAAGGCAAGTGTCGAGTTTTTCTATCCGTGATACATTTCAGTTTGTTGAGGTTATTAAGGATTTTAATTCTTTAAACAAGATGATGTTTTCATTAGACGTCACACCTCACTTCTTTGTTCACGAGTGTGCCAATCACCGAGACTGTCTGTTATGTATGTGACTATATTGATGCACATAATTTAGACGTAGGACTACCAACTAGCTGCTTGAAAGAGCTTTCGTTGAGGTGCACATTTAATGTCCAATTCAGTTTCAATAATGAAGTCCATAGACAGAAAGATGGGATTGCGATGGGGTCACCATTGGGACCACTATTAAGAGACTTTTTTATGTCGAAACTACAGAATTCACAACTTCATCAAACTATTAATAACTTTGACTATTAGAAAAGATATATGGACGACACGTTTGTTATTTGTGACAAAAATGTTGATCTAGACGATGTTCTTTGTTCATTCAATGAATGTCATCAAGCCCTCAAGTTTACCATACAGAAGGAATCAGAATCAACTAGTCGTTTTCTTGATGTGCTTCTCACCCGACGTCAGAATGGATACCTCAGAAGATCCATCTACAGAAAAGCAACGTGGAACTCACAACTAATTAATTTTTACAGTTGGATGCCCATCAACAGAAAAAGAAGTCTTATTCACTCTCTTTGCTATCGAATGAGAAATACCTGTAGTGACGATTGTATTGATGAAGAGCTACCTTTCTAAAAAAAGCACACTTATCGAAAATGGTTACCCTAGCTGTTTCATTGATAAAAATATACTAGAAAGAAACAATAAACCGGTCATCCACTCGGTCTCAAAGAAAAGACTGTTTATGAGCCTAGAGTTTAAAGTTGACCTAGCATCGGATGTACTGAGGAATCGTCTTACCATATCAATTAATAGAGCTTTCTTCGCAGCAAGACTTCAGTTGACTTTTACCAGCCATGACCTATTCTCCACCTGTGTTATAGATAAGCTTCCTCGTTTGGCCGCCTCTATGTGCATCTACCAGTTCACCTGCTCTTGTGGAGCAAGGTACATCGGCCGTAGCCAGAGAATGCTTTCTACACGTATACGAGAACATGTTCCTGCTTGGTTTTATCAAGATGAAAGAAAGCCTGTTAGAAGTTCGATTCTAGGACATTTGATTGACTTCCACCACACAACAAATCCATACAATGACTTTAACCTCCCACATTCTCTTCGTTTTCAACTCCTTAAAACAGCGGAGGCTTTGGCTATTCATGAACTAAGACCTGATCTGTGTGTACAAAAGAAGTATGTACAGTGGTCACTGATTTCATCATGGCCATAATATTTTCCCACCCCATCAGCTCCCCCTACACACACTTTGTTAGTTTAACAAATGAAGCCTTTGTATCCTTCCTTTATCACTATTGTTGCTATTACAATCGCCTTCACTTTAATTAGTTTCCGGTGTTATTTCACTTAATTGTCTTGACCCTTTTAGAAAACATTGATTTCATCCTATTCAACTTGTCTAATTCAATTACGTAATGTTCAATTGATTTACCACTTTCGATAAACCATTCCATATATTACCTAATCTACTTGTCATTATCCTCTCGATTATTATTGTCATCATCTTGTAGTGTTTAGTTTTCCTTACGGGATATGATTTTTCTAATATCATATAGATATATACACGAATGTACAGCTTGAAAATGAATTCGTTGAAAAGAGTCTCTTTCCTGAATATCATGTTCTTAATTTTACATATAGCACACGAAAGTAAGGGAATTTGAGTGGGGAATATGATATCCCAAAAGTAGCACGATAACAAAGGGGGATAACTTTTGACTCAACTATTTGTTTTGGTTGTTACCTTTGGGATTGTATTCATGTGGCCTTCGGGTTTGACTTATGGATTATGCTCTCTTTTTGTTGTTCATCCTTTTATTATACTTAGGTACAGTTTTGGTGCTTTCTGAGTCATCAGGTCACGTTTTTGTCTTCCTGATTTACGTTTAGATTATTTTGCTGAGTAAGTGAACTGCCACCACAGAAATTATACGTACTCTATTTCGAGTTGCCTTGCCTAAACTCACCTGTAAGATAATTGGGAATCTCCACACTACTGGTTGTTACACCTATAGTAACTTCGAAGTCGCCTTTGAAGCGGCGCCGCTCCAGTAATGATATACGCTACTAATTAAATACCTGCATTTTTGTTATGACGGAAGTTTTTTAGTAAATAAATAAACCTTGGTAGTTATTTCTTCATTTGCCGTGGTGGCTTCTGGAGTCAATGCCATTGAGTGACGTATTCGACATCAGTGAAACTAAAGATATCTACCATCCTAAAGCGACTCTTAAATGATATGAAACAACCAGTAGAGAGTGAGTGGGTTTTTCGCTGACATTTCTCTCTTCGGAGGGCTTTGATCAAATGTGTTGTATATTTGTTTGTTTTGTTTGATTTTCAAGTGCTTTTGGATAATAAGTAAATATATTCCTACTAGCTTAAAAGTTATACTCGTTACAGTTTCCGAATCATAGTTCAGCAGCTAGAATCGCCCAGGGAGTTAGGCATGTTGTGTCTTTGTTTGAGGTTGTTTGAAGGTATAAGGGGACACAATCTTCCTTTTGTCCAGGTGTTAGGTTTCAGCAGTTAAAATCAGTATCAAGATATGTTATTGTGATATGCATACTCATGGTTAATTAAAGCTCAGTGTTAGCCACAGATATCTGACTTTGACTTCGGGACAAAACGAAAATTTAAAGAGATATGCTGAATTGGCAAACGTCATAAAAGGACCATATACATTGTAGTTTCTTAGAATCGTATTGAATGTTTCCTTACTTATTGTATACAAACTGTCCAAGGGTTCAAGTTGACTGAGCAAACCTCTTAAAGATGGCAGGATTCTTTAGTTTCACGGTAGTATCATCCTCAGGCGAAGCCAAGTCTGGTCATTGTCACTAACCAGAATAGTAGAGCAAACTGCGTTTTTGGGTTTTATTAACAGTTAGGAAGGCCTTTTTGGCTGAGACCAACGTGTCTTCTGAAAATTGCATGTGGAACACACAAATTTACTATATCTGTGTGGTTGACTAAAAGAATACACTAGAGAACCTTCACTTAGGGGTGGATGCCATTGCAAGCTAGCTAGGGTTCATTCCTTTAGTAGTCCTAGTAGCTTATGGTGTATGCAGGCTTTGAAGGACATTATTGTCTTGCTTATCCAAGATATTTCAATTATAATTGGGTAATTATTAGGCATTTGAATAACTGTCAGTAAGAAAGAAGGATGATGTCGAATCGAAATCCACTCGGGAACCTTGCGCAGTAGTTAGTGAGCCGCACCTATTGTATGAAGGGCTAATGATGCTACCTGACTGCCCATATCTCGGTAGTTGGGGCTGGGTTCGAACAATCGAACCATCTATTGAAAGTTATGTTTTTAAGCTAATGAGAAAATGGAAGCAGTAATCACGGTATACTTCAGTAAACCTGGGGCCGTATGGTCAGATAGCACAATACATTCAGTTCTATCAGGCATTCAAATTAATCTTTATGAATTCAGAAGCGGTGACCGTTTCGCACTTTTACAGTAATAACTTAAACGTTTGCTGGCAATACTTTACGTTCTACTGAGTTATTCAGTAGTGGTGCATCTATGAAACAATGCAATGGGTTGAGGTTAATACACTTGGCATCTGTCATTCCATAGTTATGTTGACGCCGAGGGGACATGAATTTGTTTACCATATATTTATAATCCCCTTAACATTGTCCATTGGTACCAAATTATTAGGTGACATTGTAGACACCCCACTTCCTATCACTATACTAACCTGTTTGAGAACATGGACTAGTTAACTTCACTTTACAAAGGATATACTTCTCAGAACTCCTCTATTATTAACATTTTCAGTGAGATCCTAGTAAGTATAGACTGTGGACATAAATTTAGCAACTTTTGAATCACAAGTTAAAATAAACAAGTGCTTACAGCGACTGACTGAATCAATGCCATAAATGTGGATTGAAAAACTTCAGTCCTAAACAACACTTTGAGAATTCAACTACAGGTGGACTTTATGACTCCATTTGGCCCTACTTCTGTGCAAAATAGATATAAAAATGTATTGATGTTGTAGCTAAGTTAATTAATGAACTCATGTTGATTATTAGTTGCATTTCGATGCAGGGATATCTGAACAAACAAGTCTGAAATAAAATAAAACGCTTTTTGACCTGACTGCTTGTTTAGACTTTGTAAGTGCAAAGTGTTATTAATAGATTTTGATACATTCAATAAGCAGTATTCATAAAAATTTCTCTTGTATTATTAATGCACGTTTTTAGGTTTTCAGCATATCAGCTAACATCTACGAGTTGAGACTTTAATCAGTCTGACTTCAGCATCGACTTACTTCTGTGTGATAATTTCTACCATACAATAGTATGTCATCGTCAAATATTCTACTAATTACTGGAAAACCAGGTATGTACTAGTTGTTAGTACATGTTGTAATGAGTTTATAATTTTACTGTTTCATACAGTTTTATGTCTGCAACAGAACAAAATTTTTATTGGAAGATTTCTATACTCTTCAACTATCAAGTATATATAAATGGTTATCTCTGAAACTGTTAAAAATGCTTAGAACTAAGTATTACTATAAATTCGGCAACTTAGTTGATAAAGGAGCAGTATTTCAACTTGTTAAGAGTGTTTGTTTACTTGTATGTTCAAAATCAATGTTCTTATTACAACCAAAGCTCATTTGAATAGGACACTATAAACGCCTGAGCATGTGCTCTCGATAGTCTGATGTCTATTTTAAAAAATTCAGTCTCGACGTATCATATCACACAACCATGTAAGTGCTTATGGAAAGTTGTTGGGTGAGTTGACGACAACTAGTGGTGTTCATCAGGGATATCCACTGTTACCGTTCCTATTTAAATTCGTAATAATTGTACTAATGGACATAACCTTAGGTACCTCTAACTTCACAGGAATTGCTCTATTCCCTAGTTGACTTAGAATATGCAGAGATATTGTCCTGCTTAGTGAAGATGTTGACAAAATTCAGAGTCTTGTGAATGCATTAAGCAGAAAACTGAATATGTTTGGCATGTATCTCGTACCTGTCAAATGTGAGATGATGCTGCGGGTTTGACTGGTCTTCAACTACCAGTTTAATGATAGGGAGTGAAGTGGTGGTATGTGTCGGCCACTTCACTTACTTGTAGAGTTGCATCAGTTGGAACGGGCAGGTTGCTAACGAAATCCCAGCTCGGGTCAATCAACCAATCAATACCAACATAGGACCTGGCATTACTGCGTAACGGTCCAACTTGCCACAGCTCAGTACAGTACACATCAAGTAGAAAGGTAGTGAGGTGAAGGATGAAGATAAGAGAATGCAGTCAAAAGAAATATAAAGTACGAGAAGAAAGAAAGGAAGAATGGCAAAATGGTGAGATTCGGTATAGCGTCATTAAGATGAGGATAATGTGTGTGGGGATACATCTGCACGACTGACATTGGTTCTGAACCATGTGATCACCTAGAGTTTCCAACCACTGTTGGTTCCTCTTGTCCCGTGGACCCCAACCACCTAGTCTGTATCGTCCCACATGGCTTAAACCAAGAGTCAGAGACTTGATACATTGGTGCCATGTTTTAGTCTGACCACCTCTGGTCTTCTTCCAGCCTGGACCTACTTCGGTGAACATTGTGTGACGAGGCAATTGGTGACTAGGCATACATAGTGCGTGTCCCAACCAGCCATGTTAGTCGATGAAGGTTCATAACGTGGTCAACTGATTTACCTCTACTCCCTAAAACTGTATACCTGACTTGTGCATTACTCACGTGGTGTGGTGACACCACGGAATACTGCCTTTGCTATGAAGGCAACGGTGCTTACACACTTGAAGCCTTATCATGTCTTCCACCTTCAATGGCCATGTTTCACAGCCATACAGGAGATACTGAATGCTCACCTGACATTTGCCAACTTGCGTTATCTGTGATGTCGAATAGCGAGATATCCGAATAAATATTAATGGATGAGTATGCTACACTGTAGTCGGTATTGTTTTGTTATACGATTTTGAGATATGACCCATGAAAGTAGAAGATATTAAGCGATTATAAAGTTTTGATCATAGATGTCTTCGTAGCACTGCTCGTGTTTTGTGGCATTACACTGAGTAATGCTGAAGTGAAACCGAGGGTACTAGATAAGATAGGCAAGTCCATCGATGAGGTTGTGAACCTTCATCGACTGATATGGATTGGATATAAATTAAGTATACCTCACCACTATCCACCTCAATGTGCTATGCTAGGGGGGAACTGAGTTAGGCTGGAAGAGAGTTCAATAAATGAAGTTCCCAACCGTTGGTCTGAGCCTTGTAGGGAAATGTAGACTATCTGGTTGGGGTCAGGAAGATTATCGGAATTAGTGGTTGTGGAGTTTTGGTAATATGACTGAAAATCGGTCACAATAGAGCAGATGTATTCACTCTTTGATGTTATCTTCAAATTGTTTATTCTTTGACACAATTTTGTCTACTTTGGTATCCACTTGTTCTTTTTATACTACTGTGAAGTGTACCATCTTAAACTGATGCACTTATATGCTGAGCTCTACGTTAATTTTGTCTGTCTGTCTGTAATGCTATAAACTGAAGTAGGTGTTGAATAATTTGCAAATGGAAAACGAAAGGATAACCTCTAGCTTTTATTAAATGAACCTTTATACTATCGATAAGTGTAACTCTCAAGTTGAGGTTCTTATCGATCATGAACTCAGCCTTAAAACTTAGATAACAATTCAAAGGCGTATCTGTTAGACACAGGTATATTTAAGTTTGTCAGTTTTCACTTATCAAGACATTATGTGCAGCTATAAAGATCAACAATAGATAAATTTCTGCGAGTTGAGAACATACTACCTAAGAAACATATACATCCATTGCAAATGTCACATTGATACCATCGGTAAAATGTCTGTTGTATAGTGAAAATATAGTTATGAAAGTTAATATTTCACGCATCCATATATATGTATAAATGACTAATTCTTAACACGCGGAGTTGATGATATGATTTTACTCTCAACAAGTATTATATTTATAGTCACTATCCCATTTGATTTGTTTCAGTTGGTCTTAAATCAAGTTTAACCTTTCCTCAGGTATTGGTAAAACCACTCTGGTTTCTCGTGTCTTTGATGAACTTATTAAAAATGGGATATATGTAGTAGGATTCAAAACAGAAGAAGTTCGTCAATCATATTCAAGGAAGTCATATCGTTTGGGATTTGATATAGTACTATTCGACTCGTCTCGAACATATCCTCGAGCTTCTCTAGCTCGTCTAGCTAGTGAATCAAACCAACACTTACAAAGATTACCTCGAGTTGGTCAATACATTGTGGATATACCATCTTTTGAACATTTGGCTATTCCTTGTCTACAGGTCAGCTCATTAATTTGAGGTAATAAGAAGTGTATACTTCAAATAATTAATATATTAGTGTAATATCGTTCTTGTAGATGGATATTTTAATGAAAATAATATTTCATTCATTAAAGTTTTTTTCTCCTCCTCCTCCTTCCCCGTTAAACTTGCATGAAAATAGTCGATTATGAACAATTTAGGAGGTTTATCATCAAATGTTAACACTGATCAAGATAATCTGATAGTGTGTATTATCGATGAGATTGGAAAAATGGAATTGTATTCATCAAAGTTCACATCTTTAATTGAACAGCTAATTTCATCAATCTTGAATTTAACTACAGCTAGCCAATCCAATGTGAAACGACCTACAGTGGTTCTTTTAGCTACTGTGCCGTCACCAAAAAGACCAGATGGTACACGTGGAATTCCTCTTGTTGATCGTATATGCTCAATGAAAGAATCTTTTATAACTGAGGTAAGATAGGTGTATTATTTGACATGTATATATGTATATGGAGTGTGTAATCGGTCGTTATTTAATCATGGTAGTACTTTGTTTACAGAAAAGTGTGTTGAACTCTGTAAAGATAATGTTTCCATTTTTTAACCGTTTTGAAATGTCCTAGGAGATATGACAAATGAAAGTAAATCAGTCGATGAGGTTGTAAACTTCTAGCAGCTGAGGTGGCTTGGAAGTGTGTTGAGCATATTGAGTCACCGCCTCCCTCGACATGCAATGCTAGAGAATTCGAGTTAGGTTGGAAGAGGTAGAGAGGGTAGCCAGATGGATGTGTGACCACATGGCTGAGGTTCGCAAGACGATAGAAACCAGTGGTTGAGGACTCTTGGTGATTTGATTGTAAATCGGTCGCAGTGACGTCCTGTAAAGCTCGAATGTATGCCCTGACTTACCTCTTCTCCATAAAACTATACACCTGACTTCTGTGTTACTCACGTGGTGACACCGTGGAATGTGACCTGTATTACGAAGAGAATGGTGGTCAAACACCTGAAGCCTTCTCAGGTCTTCCACCTTCAATGGCCATGTTTCAAAGCCATGCAGTAGAACAGACTGGACTGTTGTGCGTAACACGCTACCCTTATTAGATAATCAGATATGATATCGGCGCCATAGGTGGCGTAAGTTAGTAAAAGCCAGCCTATCCTTTTGTATCTGTGCAGAGATTTCATCGGCCACTGAGCCACACCAGGGCAGGGTGATCTCGCTTCCCAGGTAAATGAAGTGGTCAACACACTCAATCACTACACTCTCTATTGGTAGCCATGGCACCGTTGAAGACCAATCTTGAAGCAACAATTTGCATTTGGGCGGTGAGAAATGCATCCCAAATATTCTCAAATTGTCACTCAGTGTTCAGAAGACTCTGCTTGTTTTCAGCGTCTTTACCTAACAGGACTATGTCATCTGCATATTCTAGGTCTAATGAAAATTCTCCCGCAGTTAGGCCAACCTCTGGGTAGTCAGGTGACGAGAGTGAGACCTCCGTAAGAATATCTCTGATGAAATTGAATAAGAATGGAGACAGTAGGCAGCCTTGACGGACACCGCTCGACGAGTATGGCTCCCTGGACATCTCATCATAGGCTCTAACACTCACACAAGTGTTTGAGTAGAGAGCCTTCAATAAGGTGATGTGCTTACTCAGCACGCCTTTCAGTGAGAGGCAGCGTAGACTTCTCTAGTCTTCGACTAACTATTTCTTGCACCTCATCACCTTTAAATGGCAAGATGATACTCAGTGGCTTTTTCTGAACTACTGGGGACGTTGTTCTGCTTCCTACCCATTCTGCGGGCTTTTTGATAAAGCTTTCTAGATACCCATTCTTCAGTAGCACGTTTTTTAGTCACCATTTCGTAGCCTAGTGTGCTATCGGAACGAATTCCTCTGGATCTATTGACCAGTGTTCTGACTACGTTCATTTTGTATTGGATCGGGACAAAACTCCTAAAATGAAGGTAATGTTCTGTTCATGAAGGTTTTTTGTAGATAGACCTTTTGATCGATCTATCAGTTCTTTTCACTAATGAGACATCTAAGAAGCTAATGATGTTATTTTCCTTGTGCTCAATCGTAAAGGTCGGGTTTGGGTGACACGAATTGAAGCTCTTTAGTAATGCTTCTACCTCCATTTCGCTATTACATATGATGAATATGCTGCCCACATAACACTGGTACAGTTCTGTTCAATCTATGGATCACTTCAAGCTAGTAGTTTCCAGGCTTGATAGAAATAAATCAACGAAAAGGGGACCCAGAGGGCTTCCTATTGTGACTCCATCAGTTTGGTGGAAAACTGTCCATTGAACTGGGACCACAACTCATTGGTTAGGATAGAGATATCAGCTTCTCGACAAATTAACTCCATAGTTTCGTCAGCTGGTATATTTGTGAAACAAGATATAATGTCGAATTGGAAGGTGTCAGGAACAGTATATTCCATCTAAAATCTACATGACCATTAGACTGTACTGTTATCCCCACTCATAGTTAATCATGTAATCTATCCTCAACCAAACTCAATTTTCAACATCCATTTCTACCCTTTGCATTATCACTCGACTTGTAAAAACTGTTGATTTCTATGTCGTTACACTTAAATCTATGTATCAGTCTACGTTATATATGTATGTGTGCATGTTCTTTTGCAATGTTTAACAGTATATATACGATGAAGTGGATGTAGAGTATCCATTTGACGAGTACTTCTACTACTACCATTACTACTACTACTACTACCTGCTACCTACCTATTGATTGAGATGGTTGGACACGTACTACGTATACCTGGTCACCGATCGCCTCGTCACACAATGTTGGCTGAGGTAAATCCAGGCTGGAAGAAGGCCCGAGGTGGCCAGACTAAAACATGGCACCAATGTATCAAGTCTCTGACTCTTGGTTTAAGCCATGTGGGACGATACAGACTAGGTGGTTGGTGTCGATGGGACAGGAGAAACCACCAGTGGTTGGAGACTGACTGTTGGTGATATGTCTGAGAACCGATGTCAGTCGTGCAGACGTATCCCCACACACATTATCCTTATCTTAACGACGCTATACCGAATCTCACTATTTTCTCATTCTTCCTTTCTCTCTTTGAGTACTTTATATTTATTTTGACTGAATTTTCTTACCTTTATCTTCCATTTCACTACCTTTTTACTTGATGTGGTGATATGAGCTGTGGCAAGTTGGACCGTTACACAGTAATGCCTTGTCCTATGTTCATACTGATGATGATGATGATGATGGAGGGCGAAGGTGAGATTTTTAACAATCCAGGTGATAGCATGAAAACAAGCGGTATTATGATACTGTTCAGCTGGCTACAATCGGTTATACCATTATGCACTGATCACACTTGTGTTATTGTTTCTTTTGTCCAAGTTTGTTTTAATTTATCCGACAGTCGTGTCATTTTATATTGGTCTAATAGTTGATGAGATGTCGAATCGGCTATGTAGAGTTGGGTGTACTGTATGATGATGTGCTTTGTCCTACTGTCTGACTGTCGTATAAAAGTGTGGCATTTTGAAAGGTTTCTGATATTTGATCACCATTACTTTCATATGTTGGGACCTAAGCACTTGGAGAAATAAAGTTATCTGACGACGACGTAATAAGCTGTTATTCACTGAAGTGGTATGACTGAAGCAGATGTTATACATGCAAGTGTTATTCTTTACTCTCCCAACGTCGAATGTTATTTACACTGATGTTGATTTGAAAGAAGAAAGCTAAGAGTACTCACACCAAGATATGACATCAATTCATAGATTATCTAACTGCTTATCTGATTCGTGTGTGGTTAGCGTCTATCGGACAACCGAAACTGATATTTTGAAACTCCCTCTAGGTGGTGATATGCCTCGGAATTGATCACAGTGGCTTAGAGGCTTTCATATCTTATCTTCATGTTAGTTGTAATGTCACATTAACGTTTTGCTTAATGATGGCTAGCAGTGGAACTCAGAGCACTGGTTCCGTCCTTTTAACACTCGTCAGCTAGATGTACTTTCATCCTAGTGAGAGATGGTGCTTCTACTGAGACTTGTTGCCAACGACACTCATCGCTTCAAACCGCAGTACATCAACCACTAGGCTAAAGAGTGAAGACAACTATCTGTAGTGTAATGGGTATCATTTTTTATATATATTATTATTTATTATTTATCCCTCGGGTTCCTAATGGAACATAGGGCTTCGGTAGCACTTCCTCATTCCACTCTTTTCTCTGCCAATGTTTGAACCTGGTTCCATGACTGCCCACAAGCTCTCATTTCTTCCTCGCACGTTCTCCTCCATGTCACCCTAGGCATCGACGCCCAACTCGTCTCTTCCCATCTGGGTTCCACTCGAGCAACTGGCCTGGCGTGTGATGTCTCCGAATGGTCTTCTCAATGCATGCCCAATCTATCTCCACTTCCTTCCAGTGCATATTTGTTGAGCGATAGCTTCTTGCTTCGCTGGTTCGTTACCAGGCCAGAGTTCCTTGTTGCATATTCTCATTATCCTGGCCATCTGATCTTCAGTAGCGAGCGTAGGCAGGCGTTGATGAATGTTCATAGTTTGTTGGAAATGCCTTTCGTGACGCGCCAAGTCTCTGAACCATATAGAAGCACTGGTTTGACGTTGGTGTTGAAAATCCGGATCTTGTTCACGCTTTGTGCTGAGTGCAGAAGATCTCCACACTGGTTTCAGGCTAATGAACACCTGTCTTGCTTTTCCGATCCTGGCTGGCTTTGATATCCTCGTCTGTGCCTGTGCCGCCTGTAGTTGAAACAGTGCTGCCTAGATAGGTGAAAGAGGCTACTTTCTTTAAGTTTCCCCCGTTGGTAGTGACTGGAGCTTGTTGTCGGTGTTGGTGTTGTTGGTTGGGTATCTTCAACACCTCTGTCTTCTCTGCATTCACTTGAAGTCTCGTCTTCTCTGCTCTGCCTCTTCTGTCAACTTGTTAGTTTTTGTCTGTAGATCTTCAAGTTTGTGTGACATTTTTATATATTACCTGCTTCTAATCCACCTTTGATTGTTTATAACAATACCGATCGAAGTGAATCGTTGTCTGTCGACCGCAATAATCAATGAAGTGTTAGGCATCAATGAATCACACTTGGGTTTTTGCTTGCCTCTCTTTTTATGTCTTGTGGTTCCGTACAACCTTGGCATAAGTTATCTTCATCCTGTTGTCTTCCTTTATGGGTGGCTATTTGGAACGTTGCGCAGTAAATGCCAGGCAACTTCTATGCTGACATTTGTCTGTTTCTGTAGGCTTTTTTATATGTAGTATTAAGTAATAAGCACCTTAAAAGTGTTGCGCATTTAGAACAATTTTGTAGTTGAATTAACTAGATTACTGCCATATCTTATCGTCTTCACATCATCACCGGAAGTGGGGGGTGGGGGATTCGAAAATTCGAATCAAAAACCTTACGTAGTACGTGTCCCAACCATCTCAGTCGATGAAGGTTTGTAACCTCGTCAACTGATTTACCACTACTCCCTAAAACTCTATACCTGACTGTCGGGGTGGCCGTGCGATGTAAGGCGCCAGACTCAAGAATCAGCCAATACCCAACAGATATAATAGGAATGACGGGACATTTATACTAGAGATATGAAAAATTTCACAACCACTAGATACGAGTAATATGAGATGGGTGGTAGGACTATAAATATCGGTTGTTGAAAGTGATATAATTACATGAGTAATAGTAATTTATCCTCGAAATATCATCACATTGTGTACTGTGTATCAAATAAACAAATCTAATATCGAAGAAACACTTGTAAGTGGAAGAAGAAAAGGCATAATATTTATCATATTACTAATGATAGGTAGATCTAGGCTAGTTATTAGTAACACTACTGTTTTATAATTTGTTTCATATTATTCACTTTTCTAGAATGCTGAATGTCTATTCCATGTAAAAATTTCACCTTATTCACCTTTAGATCAATGTACATAATCGTGACTCAACTGTTGAAGAGATAACAAAGAGAATATTAAATTGTGGATCTTTGTAATATAGAGTATGTCATCATGGTGAATTACTTTGTTGTTGTTTCTGCGATCATTACAATAAAAACCTTCTGTTTTTCTACTTACTTATCTGAAAGTATGTAAGATACAATCATATTTATCATTCAAATTAAACAAAGTTTTGAATACAGTGCTGCTTTATTAAATTTAATGTTCGCACTCCAGATGGACCTGATTCGACAAACCTTATCTAAAGCTCCTGTGCGGATGCCTCGATATTACCTGTGTTCTAATTATAGTTATGATGAATAATGGCTAGCAGTGGAATCTAGGACGCACATTTCGTCCTATTTAGGACTTATCAGCTGGATTTACCTGCCTCCAAGTGAGTGATGTTGTTCTTACCGGGATTCGAACTCGGGAGCGTGTGTAGTGGATAACGCCCTGGCGTTTGGAGCGATTGGCCGCGAGTCTGAATCCCAGTGGGAACAACATCACTCACTGGGAGGCAGGTATATCCAGCTGACGAGTCTCGAATGGGACGAAATGCGCATCCTGGATTCCACTGCTAGCCACTTATTCATCATTACTCATCTAAAGCATTCAGTGAATTAAGGCCAGATCATGGACCAGGGAAAATTCGTCCAGTGTTAGGTTTTGACTGATAAAGCATTCATTAATCAATCATGAAAAGCCTGTGATCTGTTTTGATGTATTTCCGTTCCATACCTGTAGTTAGAAGTACGTGTTGTTATTCATATAATTGTCTAAGATTTTAGGTTCTATAATCATTAGATGCCTGAATGCAGCTCGAGAACAGCAAGCCGAAGAAAACCGGGCAGGTTTCAGGCCTGATCGTGGGTGTATCAACCAAATATTCACACTCTGTCAGGTTCTGGAACACAGACACGCTCACTAACGCCCGAAGGAAAAGCTGTATTTCTCGACCTGAAGGTGGCATTCAACTTCGTCGGTCAAGAAGTCTTATGGCAGTGTCTCTCGTTGAAAGGGGGTGGTACCGAATAAATATGTCACCCTATCGAAGGCTCTTTACTCGAACACCTGTGAAGGTCTCCTCGACATTTAACTACAAAAGGATTAACCTAATCACAGGAGAATTTTTGGCAGACCTAGAATACGTAGATGACATAGTCCTGTTAGATGAAGATGCTAACAAGATTCAGAGTCTTCTGGACATCTTCAGTGTCAATTTAAGAATTTTGAGAATGCGTTTCTCGCCAACCAAATGCAAATCGTTGCTCTAGGACTGGTCTTCGACGGTAGCCCGACTAACCATAGAGAGTGAAGTGGTTGGCCGCGTTGAACACTTCACTTAACTGGGAAGTTGGATGAGTTCTGGTGCGTTGGTCAGTGGCCGACAGAATCTCTGCACGGATATAAAAAGCTCGGTTGGTTTTCGCTAATTTACCCCATCCGTGGCGCCAACGCAATGTAAGATTGTCTATTGCGAGTCGAGTGTGCTGTACTGCAGTCCGCCTGTAACCGGGGTTAGAACAACTAAATCTAACACCAACAGTTTTCAAAAGGTTGTGTGTGGCAGGCCTTAAGCAGATGTCCCATGGGGTCTGAAGTCACAACTGTTTCTGATACTCTTCAGAAACTAATTCCACGTGGTAGGAACCCAGTAAAATTCCATTGCCCACATGCTTCCAATAGTACACAAGACCTATCCTCCTTACATCTGTCTCCCTTCACTTCCTAGTATCAATATTAAGTGTCTTACAACTTCGCCACTCTGTGACCATTGTCAACGATCGAAGCCTCATTTTTAGTCTCCTAAGACCTTGCCATCGACTTCATCTGAGAGCTTTTAGCATCCGAGCTATATACCAGACCGAACAGCAAGCATCGCTTGGCAGAACTATGGAATCTCTAGCCATGGATGTATACTGTATCTCTGAGACATGTATACGGGATTTCAGTGTGGTTATTAAACTGACTTCATCCGGTTACTGTAGGGAATGTTCAAAATTCACTATAGGAGTATCCGGAGATTCAGTGGCAAGACCTCGTGGACTCCCTGGTGTAGTCACATCAGAACAGAAAGTGGACTCATCAACTCGATGCCAGTCAACAGGTGCTTGTGGGCTGTTCGATTGGAGGATAGCGAGACTAAGCGGTGTCTTTTGGCAGTCTCCACGTATACACTCACCGACTTTAATCTGGACGATGCAAATGATGAACCTTGTCATAAGCTGTCAATTTTACCGCAGAAAGCAATAAGAGGAGATGACTTTGATGCTGAAGTGAGGAAGATGAGTCGGTCAGAATCGCATCTTTGGTGTCTACGGAATCCCATGCCGACGAACCGATAGTGATTGTTTGTTTCAATTTTGTCTTGTCAATTACTTGTTTCTGACCAACACTAACTTCAGTGATAGAGAGAGAAACTGTCTCACATGGCATTCTTTTTGATATCAAACCAAGACTGACGATTGTGGCTTTATCTGGAGCGCGTATTTGAACTCCATGCGTTATTAAGGTTACTTGTATGGCATGCACCTTACTGGTTGCAGAAAACACGAAAACCTGTGTGTGCTCTATTGAAAGAGGATAGCGTGAAGTACGTTATTAGGTAAGAGATAGCTAAACATCTGCCTAAACATGGTAACAATTTTCATCCTTCCGAAACCTGGTATGATATTCAGTTTTCTGTAGAAACAGTGGTGAAGACAGTTGGGAAACTACATTGAAAGGTTGGTGAATACCTGTGGATTTCCACAACATCATCTGAACTAACTGATGCGAGAAGATTCATTCTAGTTGTCCAAGAATCTGAGATTGAAGCGATCATGATCGTTAGTCAGTGCGGGTTTTCTTTCGACGCCGCTATTACATCATACTTTGACTGATGTTCATACAATTGTCTCTCGTATGTATCCAAGCATTCACTACACTTTTTTGCTTGTATATGCCTGTCCCTTGGTTATTGTTTCATCTGTTGGTCAGTTTATACAATGTACATTACTATTTTCTATGCTTATAACGACTTATTAAGTAATCTAGGCGTTCTCTTTTTTTATACTGTTCTGAAAACCTCCTTCTTTCCGATTAGATGAAAGTTATCATAGAGAAAGGATGTCTGAAACCAAATGCCAGAGACAAATTGATAATCATTTGTTTGATGGTGAAATGAAAATCTGAGTTGTTGCAGGATTGAAACCAGCGGCTTACGAGTCATCGGTTCGATGCTCTACCAACTGAGTTAACGAAACACTCAGATCGGTTGCTGTAATCTAGATCTTCGTTTGTCTCCCAGTATGAATGATACAAGTCTTGGTTATATTGTGTTCTCTGAGCTGAATTGTTTACTCGTAAAGCTTCCATCGTCTTTCTAGACGACATCATAAGCACTAAGTTCAGTATAGAGTTAGTGCCTCGTGAGTAAACAATTCAGCTCAGAGAACACAATGCAACCAAGACCATTCACCTGAGCTACAAATATTCTCCACCCTGATACAAGTCTATCAAACACAACTGTCATCTAAGATAGTTAAATCGGTAATCATCTGTTTCTCAACCTGAATCACAGGGATTTCTATTATAAATCCAACTGTCTTACAGATAGACAGAAGAATAGATGTATAGTTGTTTTTATGTGATACCGTCGTTGATTGGACCGAATTGATCGGTCTGTATTGGCATATGGGCTCCTGTGCGAATGCCTCGATATTGCCAGTCTTCTAATTATGTTAATGAAGAGTCGTGGCTAACCTTGGGATCCAGGATGCTCGTTTCGTCCTATTTGGGACCCGTCAGCTGCATGTACCTACCTCCCAGTGAGTGTTGTCCCCACCGGGATTCGGACTCGGAAGCGATCGCTTCAAACACCAGAGCTTGATCCACTACATTACCGAGCCATGATAGCCACTTCTTATGAGACAGGTATAGTTTTTAGTATACATATAATTGTTTTTATATCATACCGTCGTTGATTGGACCGAATTGATCGGTCTCTATTGGCATATGGGCTAGCCACGATCCATCGTTAACATAATTAGAACACTGGCAATATCGAGGCATCCGTACAGGAGCCCATGTGCCAATAGAGACCGATCAATTCGGTTCAATCAACGACGGTATCATATACTAAAAACTATACCCCGTCGCACAAGAAGTAGTTATCGTGGCTCGGTAGTGTAGTGGATAATGCGCTGGTGTTTGGAGCTGTCGCTCCCAAGTCTGAATCCCGGTAGAAACAACAGCAATCACTGGGAAGCGGGTACATCCAGTTGACAAGTCCCAAATAGGACGAAATGCGCATCCTAAATTCCACTGCTAGCCACAATCCATCATTAACAAAAGAATAGATGAATTGTATGAAAATTTCAATTTTTATTTCTTCATAAAATTTAAAGGAGATTCTGTGTGTGTGTTTGTGTTTTCAGTTGAACAACTTGATCATTCTTTGGCTAATTCAAAGATTTTCATTATCTCATCTAGACGCCTGAATAATTAAAAAGCATACATATACACAAAAAATTAAGTAATTATCAGCTTAGATAATCTTTGAATGTAATTATTCATAGTTATTTAGTACTGATAGAAAGTATATTGAAGAAAGAGTCAATACTGAAGTATGCAGATTGATGGGATTGTTAATAATGAGGAATTTGAGTCGCCTATTTGACAGTTGATCAAGGTGATAAGTCTTTATTCTTCTCAATCCGATTGGCTGATTATTTGAAGTAATTATAATTGATACCATCATCATCAACACAGGAGATGTAAGTTGTTATAGAAGGGCATGTAAAGTTGTTCAAACATGATGCCGACATTCTATATCCATCTCCCTGATTCCAGCTAAGAATAAGTTTATTTTTTATATTTTCTTTCTACTTTGAAGTTTCTTTAGCAATTGAATTGATTTTACGGGGGTAAGTTTACTAGCCGTATGCTTAATCTTCCGTCTTATTATCCGGGCTTAGGACCGGCTAGTAACTAGGGCGTGAGACATCATTGCTAGGCCCTGGAGTGGAACCCAAAGGGGAAATGACGAGTTACGCGTCCAAGGGTAACATGGAGGAGATTATGTAAGGGAGAAATGAAAGCTTCTGGTTAGTCATCGAGACAGGTCGAAAAGACTGCAGAGAATAGAGTGAAATGGCGACGTGCTACTGTAGTCGTATGTTCCACTAGGAACCCAAGGGAAAAATAAAGTCGTTAGTTCAAAAGAACTTCGATTTTTCAAATAATTGAAAGTCGTTAATAGTGGAATTTCGGCACCATAGACTATAATGAGGTTTCACTATGAAAAGTTACCGACAGAAACAATATACAACATGTTTTTTTCTTTTTATTTGTGAACAAATAGTAAACTATAAAATAATTTCCTTTGTCAGATATCTATTGTTAAAAAGTGTAACAGGCATCTATACAAGTAACCTATGGTAGTGTTGGGAGAAATCGACAAGACGATGTCATCGTCTGAGTGTTTATATTACCGCATTCACTAGATGAAGTACCTACTGTCCAGTAATTTGTGCTTCTTTATTGAGCTGTTGCTATGCAATGCAGACACCATATGTTCAATCATGTAGTCACAGACTGATATCCATTTATGGCAGTTTGGTTGATTGTAGCTAGCAGAGGAAACGCGTTTCGTCCTAGTTGCAACTCATCAGCTGAATGTGCCTGCATCCCAGTGCGAAGTGATGTTGTCCCCACTGATACATGAACCTTGTATTCATCGGTTCAAACGCCAAGGCGTTATCGACTACCCATGGAGCAACGATTGTCACTTCTTGTACAACTGGTAGGTAGTAGTTATTACTATATATTGATATACTTGTAATTCTCCGTTGTTTTATTGGATCGGATTGTTTGACCTCTATTGGTGTATGGACTCCTACGTGGATATCTCGATATTGCCTGAGTGTTAATTATGATACTTTGGTTGGTTGTGGCTAGGAAAGATATACCGAGGCATCTGCATAGGAGCCCATTTGCCATTAGATGTTGAACAATTCGATCCAATAAACAAGGAAGAATTACAAGTATATCAATAAATAGTGATACTCGTCAGTTCACCTAATTTGATCTGCGCAACCAAGTTATATATATATATATATATATATATATTTGGGTAACGCAGCACGTATACTTCTCAGTATGCAACACTTGCTTGGTATTTAAGCCTACAAACTCACTTGGAAATAAGTTGTGTAGGTTAAGAGATAACACTGATCTAATTAGGCAGCATAATCTACCGATTTGTATTGAACGATTATGAAGTCAAATGCATAGCTCAATGTAGTCGACTAGCCAGAGTTATTTAAACGTCTGGTGCATAAAAACCTTGTAGTACACCTTTCTGGTACTAAAATTTAATTAGGACTAAAATAAATTGAGTAAATATTAACTAAAATGAACTCCTAACTTACCTCTAGATGATTAAGGTATTTGCATCAAAGTAGGCTTCGACAGCATTTTGTGATTCTTTTTTGTGCACGATCTCCTCCATGTCACCCTCGGACGTCCAACTCGTCGCCTCCGATGGGGATTCCACTCGAGGACCTAACGCGTGATGTCCTCAGTCAGGCCCTCGAGTGAAATCCCCATCGGAAGCGATGAGTTGGACGTCCGAGGGTGACATGGAGGAGATCGTACGAGGAGGAAATGAGAGGTTGTGGGCTGTCGTGGAACCAGGTTCCAAAGATCTCAGAGAAGAGAGTGGAATGGATACGTGCTACTGAAGCCCTATGTTCCATTAGGAACCCAAGGGACTAATAATATAATATATAATATAATAATTTTATGCTGATTAACACTCATTTCATTAGAGTATCTAGCTCAGCCATATTAACCAGATAAGTTGATTAAACTTTTCCCCTAATCGTTCCGCTTAAATATATTTCTCCTTTTAATGTACTCCTGAATGATGGTGTTTTTTTATTTGTATTTTGGTCTTAGTCCTTACACTTTAAGTAAACTACTTATTAAGCAGGTACTAGAGCATATTGAGTTAAGTAGGGGCTGGTCAAGAGTTATGTAATAATAACATATCCAATTCCCTACAATTGGTGAACCCGTGTATCATTCTCTTACTCCGTCTGGTACTTTATCCTACAGTGATTCATTTGTTCTGTTTTTATTCTTGTCAAGGTTTCGTTTCACGTTGGTTATTTTAAATTTTTCATTTTATTATGATCAGTATTGTACCTTATTGTATCGTTTATTAATAGCTGAGAATAACGGCTCTTCTGCGCAGATGACCACAACTCTTCAGTCTCGCATCTTCTTGTCCCATAGACCATCTGTGTCATTCGCTTACATGGGAGCTCAATTTACCTTAAGGTGTATCCACTCACAGGAAACTAAGTCAAACTTGATTATCGTGAGTTTGTTCAAAAATCTAATCGAAGATATATCAGACGTGTTAGAGGCCACTGGATTGAACCTGTACGAACGTCCTAAGGCCACTGTCATCAAACATGTTGCACTTACTGACCAGCAGAAAGTGAAAAGAACGTTTTAGGGATGTATATCTCGGTGATCGTAGGCCCACGCAACTGCTTCGTCTGGTGAGGTGAACGATGCAAGGAATCCTAGTACCTTTTCACAACTCCCCCTTTGATAGAGCTGACGGAAGCAGTTGACAAAGCTGTTGACGCTACCAAGCCCAACAGGAGTATTTCAGCTGCAATTCCTACTAACACTGATTCACACAAAGATCTCTCCTTTCCATCAGCAAGTGAGCCACCGAGTTTTGACGCTGTGGCTCACATCAATAAATTGTACGAGGAATTATACAGTGTCATGAAAGAAATGCGGTCTGGTAATTCTTCCTACAGTCACAAGTCTTGCTCGCGCAGTAGACCTGTCTTACGCACTGTTTGCAGGCGTTCCAAATTATGACGATCCCAATCCGGATTGTGATGGTACCATAGACGTTATGGTGCCAACACCGAAAGGTGTAGTCGAGGCTAAACAGGCGGGAAACGCGTGAACCAGCACGCGACGGCAACCAACGTCGCTGGCGAACGACTTTCTTTGTCGCCTGTCCAAAGTCACAGACCAACATTCTGGGACACGCTTCCTGTTTGATACTGGGGCAAAAGCTAGCGTCATCCTATCTACAAGTTAAAAGCGTATTCGGCCAACGTCTCCACAACTTCTTGCCGCCAGCGGTTTGCCCATCACAGCTTACAGTCGAAGATTCCTCGACCTCAACCTTGGACTACATCATTGTTTCCGTTGGGTTTTCATAGTGACTGATGTGACCACCGGCATTATTGGTACTGATCTCTTACAGCACTATCAGCTGCTGATAGGTGCTGGCAAGTATAAGTCGATTGATTCTATCACAAGACTCTCTGTCTGCGGTATCGTCATTCCGACGCCCTCTCTCAGTCCAATGTTCTCCACTTCGGATAATTCCAGTCCTTACGCGTCTTTAATCCAGTCCTTTCCGGATATCTTCAAGCCAAGTCGTGGTGTACCTTGTGTGACTTCCAACGTTAAGCATCACCTAACGACGACTGGCCCGCCACTATTTGCTATACCACAGCGGTTGTCCTAGGAGAAACTGTGCTATCAAGGCCGAGTTGGAATACAGATTTGAGATAGGAATAATCAGACCAACTTAGCTAGTTCATATTTGGTAGATTCTAGTAAGATAAGAAATCTAGAAAAAGGCTAGTCCATAGCTAGGCATGGAAGTACATACATCTAGACAATATGATGAACAGAGTGACAATCCTTGAAGCTAGCCTAGCCGATTAAAGGGAGAGATTGTATCAACTTGTATCAACACCAATTACGTAAAACATGCGTGATTCAACAACAGACAACAACAGAATGTTTCCGAAACGGAATCCAGTAAATGATACTGTTCCATTGTGTAAATCATCTAATCAATCAAGTAGAATGGAATTACTTGCTAATTGTATGTTCAATAATCAACATTAATAAAGCATTCAATTTTCAATAGCAGCAAAAACTAAACTTACTTAAGAGAATTGAACATCTTACTGTATTCCTCACTTGAAAGTGAAATAGAATTTTTCAAATAAACACAGCGAATTTATTCAAACTTTTCGTCCTTCCCAGAACTCATTAGTTGAATATACCTGTACTCCAGGGCGAATTGATGTTGTTACCACTGAGATCCTTCACTTCAAAAGCTAGGGCGTCATCCACTTAGCCACTGGAGCTCGATAGCCACCTCTTGTGCAACGGGTATCAGTTATTGTTATGTTAACTTGTAATTTCCCGTTGCTATACCGGTTTGAATTGCTCGACTTCTGTTGGCAGACGCTCTCCTATGTGGAGGCCTTGATATTGCCAGATATTCATGATGTTATGTTGATCTTGGTGACTAGCGGAGTAATCTAGGGCGCGTGTTTCGTCCTGTTTGGGACTCGTCAGCTGGATGCACCTCAGTGAGTGATATAGTTCCTGCTGAAGCTCGAACCCACTACCCTTCGCTTCAAACACCAGGGTGTTGTCCACTAAGCTACCATTGCACAAGAGGTGGCTGTCATGCCCCAGTGGCTTAGTGGATGACACCCTGGCTTTTAAAGTGAACGGTCTCAGTGGGAACAACATCACTCACTCTCTGACAAGTCCCAAACAGGACGAAACGCGCATCCTGGATTACTCTACTAGTCACCAAAACCAATATAAGAACAGTTGGTCTTATGTAGTAGGATGAAATCACTATGTCTTATTGCCCTACACTTTGAGCGACATACAACAGTGAAATTTGAACTCTCGGTATCTGCTTTCATTGAGGTATTGATGGAATGAAAACAACAACCAGTCAGTTAAGAATGTCCTTTATGTGGCTATCTTTGTTTTCATTCATTTCATTGATATTCTGACTAGGTCGCCTACGCTTTTGACGCCTTGCACATCTCGAGAAGTTTTCAGGGGCTCTCTAACGACAACTGAAATAACTACTTACATTTCGCTTTTTTGTGAAAAACTCTCCTTCGAACCAACATACAGTGAACTGATTTGTTATTTCAGTTACTAGTATGGTGGACATGTTTTGCTATGCATAGTTTAGTAGGTACGTTATGTGGGAGAAGAATCTAGCTTTACTTTCTTCCTGAATCGGCTCATGTGACTTCGATGGTTGTAGGCTCAACTCGTACATGGTAACAATTGAGAAATAATACCAGTTACAAGCATTTTTGACCATTTCCCTCAGTCTTTGCATCAAAGGACTTAACAGGAAAGCCAAACTGAAGTTTAAACCAGTAACAACGACTAAACCGCCAACTAAAGAAAATATATTGGGCAGGAAGATAGCATGACCAGCCCCCACACAATAGGTGTGGTTCATTGCATACTACCTAATGGTTCACATGGTTAGTAAATGAAATTCGTTTCGACAAAGCTGAGATAAAGGATAAGTGAAGCTGAAGAATAAAAGCTGGTAGATATCTGACTCACTTTGATTTACGTCGTATCTTGTCAGGCCAACGTCCGTTGGAAGGACACCTGGCGTCAATATGACGCAATCTTTAGGATGAATTCAAGGTATGTAAGCAGGAGAGGAATGTGCAGTTCGAAGATCCCTACAGTCAAATACTTAACGGACTAAATATGCAATAGTGAAGTGCCGAATATCTTCCCAATGATTAACATGTAAAGTCGAAGGAGTCAATTGATATCGGGCTGCACTGAAATCAAGGATATTCATTTCAGTCGATTAGGATCCACCTGTATCTGTGTGAGTGGTAGTTTCTCCTCTATCACTTGAAGTGATTGTCATCAATGAGAACACCAGAATGTATGTGAGAAATGTAAAATGGAAGTGTGAGGAGATTGTGAAATGAATGAAGTGAATGACGAAGTGATGGATAATACAGAGTAAGAAATATGCACTTCACAATATCAGTCATGTAATGTTGGGATTTGATGGAAGCGTGTTTTAAATTTTATTTTGAAACTCACTTATAGTCATTTGCATCGCTAATATGAGGAAGATGGAAGTGTAAAGTGCAGTGAGTAGGGGGGGCTAGCTTCGTGCTTTTCTGAATGGTATATTCGGTGAGTGAAAAAGGCAATATTATTATTATTATTATTATTTTCGCTTGGATTCCTATAGTAACATAGGAGTTGAGTAGCAAGCACGCCTCCACTGCACTGTGTTCTGTGTAGTGTTTTGAAGCTGTTTCCACTACTGCCCACATACTTTCATTTCTTCGTGACACCATCTCGTCGGTGTGACCGTAGTGTGGGACGTCCAACACGTCGTTTCTCATCTGAGTTCCATGGAATGTTGTGACTAGTTTTGTCCCCAGTCGGCCTTGTCAGTGTATACCGAATGGAATGCATCTGCACTTTGTTGTGCATATTCGTTGGGTGATGGTTTGTTGCGAGACAGAGTGAGTTTGTCCCTGCTTATTGTTCCTATCCACTAGGAGATGAATAATTGTGATGGTGTGAGAAATTTAAACATTCTAGGGTCTTTTCATCGAGTCGAGTCCGGTCGGGTCGGGTCGGGCCGGGTGAATGATACTGTCACTGTTGCTGAGACCTGGGTAGATGGAGCAACGTTGTAAGCAGTGTGGTTAACGCATACACAAGTGTGGTAAAAATCATCGCCATACACGGTAAGGGAAAGGTAGCATCAGTTTTAGGCTAAATCCAAGCATTTCTGTCATGGCGAAATGTTTGATTTCATCGTTTCATATGAGGTTTCATCTACTGAATCAATTCAGTTTACTCTAGAGGTTATTTCGACTGAGCTTGCTTTATCAATGTTTACTTACACATCTTAATTTCTCCACATGAATGTTATCTTGCTCATTTCGTATCTCCCTGGTGCTAAAACGTTGTAGTAGAATGGAAGAGTTAGAGGAGTGGCGTGTTGTACTGGGGTCATCTGTCCTTAATCGTCGATTAACTTGGAGAGAGTGCAGTAAAATTTGGCTTTGCTTAGATGAACATATTTTCATTGCCTTAATGTGAAGAAGGCTTCACTCGGGAAACAGGTAACTCACTTACACAGACACTCAGTGTATTATAAGTGTCGGTGTCAGATGAATTTCTGAGATTCACTTTCCTAGCTGTCAGACGACAGATATACACCACAAACAGGCAAGTAAACAAGTTTAAGCTTACTGAATTTCAACATTCCTTATATGTAAGTGTGTGTGTGTGTGTGATGCGAAATCATGTAGGAAGATGCAGGTTGGGAAGTTGGATGCGTTTAGAAGTGTAAATGATTTGTGCTGATCAACAGAGGGTTGTCGAAATGAAGCAACTGATCAGTAGTGCTATCCGCTATGCAATGACTCATATCGATTTTTCGGCATAGTTACATATCTTGACACGTTACATACAGTTTACCTCATGAGTTGTAGTTGGGCATTTTAAACTGAATCGGTAACTTCCATGAGATCAAGTGTTTGGCTTTTAGGTATTTATCTCCAGTAACGGTTGGTTGTGTGACGTTGTGATGAAAAGGCAAGAGGTTCGACAAAGAGATTTTTTCCTGTGATTTCATACTCAACTTCATAGAATCATGCCTATTCACGATGAGTTTTGTGAGTGTTCTGTTGTTACAATGAAGATAGATTAGATTATTGTCACTATGAAAGCACTTAATTTTCGGGGATAACTAAATGTGTTAATCAGTCATAAGTATAAGTTAGATGGAACCGACGAAGTTTGAAGAAGGAAGGAGTGAGATGAATTGTTATGAAATTGAGCGGAGAAACAGAGAAAAGAAGAGAGAGGAAATTGTCGATAGGCTTTAAGTGGCATTGAGGATTCACACCATAGCAAGACAGAGAAGGTTGAATATATCTGTTGAGCAAAGGAAGGTGGAGATTCTCTCTGTAGTTGGATAACTGAAGCTTGAGTTGTAGAGAGGTGGTGAACGTATACTACTTTTGACAAGTTTGTAATCAGCCTATAAGATGAGGTTGAAGCAGAAAGTCATGAATACTGAAGAGTTATTTTGAATGAAAGATTCTCTGTGAGCATATTTGTTTGTGAGTGAAGCTGAGACAAGAGTGAAGATTGAGTGTGACACAAGAGTGAAATGGTGAATTAATGAGAGTCTGGTACAAGAAGTGGAAGGGAAGTTTTGAGTTCAGAACAGGTTTTTGTCCCTCGAATGGGAGTGATGGTGATGAAAATAATTTCAGGAGCATCAGACAGTTTGGAGGAATGTTTAAATAACCTGAGTGTTTAGATGAAATTGACATATGATTTCGTGCAGTGAGAGTGGCGACTTCGAGTTAGGGAAGAAGAGGAAGAAGAAGAAGAAGAAGAAATTTACAACTGTAGTACATGTGGTAGCTGTGAGACACCAGGTTGACTAGCTGATACCACGTAGTGATGCTGAGGTGCACAAGCTGACATTGAATATGAGAAGTGAAACGGTGAATGAATGAGAGGCAGATATAGGAATCGAAAGTGAAGTTTTCACACTGGTTTGTTTTCTCCAATCCATACTTTAAGATTTCGTGTTTCTAAGTTATTCACTTTGATAAAATTAATACATGAAAGCAGTAAATGATGTTGTGTTTTTGATGAACAAGGTTGTATTCATGACTTACTCAGTGTTTATGGAGTCAGTAGTGATTGCACTCCTGAAATTGGTGGTTAAAACAGTTTTGGAGATGAAGAGAAATAACAGTATCCTGTGATAAAGATAATTGTCATTACTAGTGAAGACAATGGGTGTGTGTGTGTGTGTGTGATTGCATAAAGGGAGTTATTTTCGGTGTGTAGCAGTAAGTTTCCTTGAACTTTTTATGCTGTGAATCCCTATCAATATGGTTGTTTATTTGGTGGTGGGGCAGTGGAGGGAATCAAAGTTGCAGGTGTCATCCAGTTTCAGAGTTGTCAGCTGAGTGTACCTGCACTCAAGTGAGTGATCCTATCTATTCGGAAAACTGACACTCGAACGTTGTACACATTTCTACAAACATCAAGATGAAGATATTACTGCGTAACCGTCGAAGTTGCCACACCTCACCACACCACACCACACCTCATCTCACCATATGGAGTGACAAGGTTATAAAATGTAAGATGAAGAAGGAGAGAGAAATCCGTCAAAGGAAGTAGAGGTAGAAAGCAGTAGGAGAGGAGAGGAGAAGGAAGGAAGAATGACAAGATGATGATATTAATGAAGAAGTGGTTAAGATGAGGATAATATGTGTTTGGATTTGGGTCAGTGACATCGGTTCTAAGCCAATATCAGGTAGAGTAAGTTTCGAACATGTAGTGGTTTCCGTTGTCCCGTAGACGTCGACCGTGAATACTGAATGGCTAGACGGGGCTGAAACAAAGAGTCATGCAGTTTATGCATTGATGCCATATTTTAGTCTGTTCACCTCGATACTTTTTCCAACCTGAGCCTATTTCTGTCAACATTACTCCACGAGGCAGACAGTGGTTAAGTTTGCTCAACACATGTCTCAGACAGACAGTCATGTCAGTCGATCAAGGTTGACAAGTGTGTCAGCTGTCTCACCTCTCTTGTCTAAAAGTCTACACCTACATTTGCGTTACTCATTCATGTGGTGACATGAATATCGTGATGGTGCCACAGATGATGTAAGTTGGCAAAGCCAACCGAACGATTTGTATCTATGCTGAGATTTTGTCGACCACTGACCAACGCACCAGAACTGATCGGAATTCTCACATGAGTGTAGCGTTCAACACACTGAACTACTTCACTTTCTACAGACACCAAAGTATTTTCCACTAGTAGTGGAAATTAATACACGACAGTGACTTGTCAATCTATGTTGACAGGTGATGACATGCTGATTTGTTATTGTTAATCTACTCGGTTAATTCGTATACTTGATTAAATTTGTACTCATATAAATACGTTTACATTAGATATAGATTGTATTTGTGTAAGTCACAGTGGGAATTATCTGTGTTATGCGACAGATATTTTTGTCAAGTGACGTACGTGTGAATGATACCTGCGTTGAATACGACACAATCTTTAGGATGAATTCAAGGTATGTAAGCAGGAGAGGAATGTGCAGTTCGAAGATCCCTACAGTCAAATACTTAACGGACTAAATATGCAATAGTGAAGTGCCGAATATCTTCCCAATGATTAACATGTAAAGTCGAAGGAGTCAATTGATATCGGGCTGCACTGAAATCAAGGATATTCATTTCAGTCGATTAGGATCTACCTGTATCTGTGTGAGTGGTAGTTTCTCCTCTATCATTTGAAGTGATTGTCATCAATGAGAACACCAGAATGTATGTGAGAAATGTAAAATGGAAGTGTGAGGAGATTGTGAAATGAATGAAGTGAATGACGAAGTGATGGATAATACAGAGTAAGAAATATGCACTTCACAATATCAGTCATGTAATGTTGGGATTTGATGGAAGCGTGTTTTAAATTTTATTTTGAAACTCACTTATAGTCATTTGCATCGCTAATATGAGGAAGATGGAAGTGTAAAGTGCAGTGAGTAGGGGGGGCTAGCTTCGTGCTTTTCTGAATGGTATATTCGGTGAGTGAAAAAGGCAATATTATTATTATTATTATTATTTTCGCTTGGATTCCTATAGTAACATAGGAGTTGAGTAGCAAGCACGCCTCCACTGCACTGTGTTCTGTGTAGTGTTTTGAAGCTGTTTCCACTACTGCCCACATACTTTCATTTCTTCGTGACACCATCTCGTCGGTGTGACCGTAGTGTGGGACGTCCAACACGTCGTTTCTCATCTGAGTTCCATGGAATGTTGTGACTAGTTTTGTCCCCAGTCGGCCTTGTCAGTGTATACCGAATGGAATGCATCTGCACTTTGTTGTGCATATTCGTTGGGTGATGGTTTGTTGCGAGACAGAGTGAGTTTGTCCCTGCTTATTGTTCCTATCCACTAGGAGATGAATAATTGTGATGGTGTGAGAAATCTAAACATTCTAGGGTCTTTTCATCGAGTCGAGTCCGGTTTGGTCGTGTCGGGTGGAGTCGACGACAATGAGGAAGATGATTGTTGATAGTAGGTGGTAACCTTGTGTTCTCTCCCCCCTGTCTTCACTTCGAAGGCATCATGGAGCTTGCCATTGTCAATCACTTTGCATATAGCATGATCACCATGATACAACTGTTGGATGAGATTGGTAAAAGTTTGTGGCACTGATTGTGTAGTGTTGAAGCAGCCGAATTACTAGTTGGTCGACGCTGTTGAAGGCCTTTTCAAAATCAATGAATTTGAGGCAGAGGAGCATTCCTTGTGGGTGCACAAGCAATAAGCATGTCTGTAAGAAATCACTTTCCATTTGCTAATTTATGCAAGTGAAACGATTTCTATTGATCTCCTTCATTTCTGATTAAATGGTTCATGTGGTATGAACTTTTGTTTGGTAATCTGGAACACGATTCATGCGCATTATAGTAACATTTAAAGGATTTGAAGGTTCCATTAATCTTTGTGACTGCCAGAGGAATCAATATCACGCTTTTCGTTCTATCCAGGACTCATCAGCCAGATATACCTACATCCCGGTGAGTGACGTTGTTAACACGGAGACCCGAATCCAGTACTCTTACAGAGATCGAGGAGTTTGGCTCTGCATTACGAGTAGGAAGTTATAAGCATCATTACAACTATGTGAAAGTTTCGCTTGTAAGAAATCACTTCTTGGCATTATTACTTCAAATGTTAGGCCTGGTTAACTAGTTCACTAGTTACTAGCCGGTCCTAAACCCGGGTTAAGAGGGAAGGTTGTTCACAGGGCAAACAACTCTACCCCAGAAAACAAATCTAACCGCTAAACAAACTTCAAACCACGAAGAAAATATGAAAAATAAAAACAAAGTTATTCCTCGCTGGGATTGGAGAGGCGAAATCACGCTAGTTGATGAAAGCCTTCGGGAAGCCAATTGGCCGATGTGTCTCCTCTTCTCTCGATGAAAGCGAAAGTAAACATGGGGACATGAAACGTTCGCATGATGTTTGAACCCAGTAAGGCAGCCCAGATTGCAAAGGAGATGAGAATGTATCACATTGAAATGCTTGGAATATGCGAAAGCAGATGAAATGGGAGTGGACTCTCCAATTTGTCAACTGGACAGTCAATAATCTACTCCGACACTGTCACCCAGATGACAACCACGAGCACACTGAGTTTTGGAGTGGCTATCGTGATGTCCCCAAGAGCATCGAAGGCTTTCATGCAGTGGGAACCATTCTCCTCCAGAATCATAACAGCAAGGTGTTCAAATCAAAAGGATGCAAAGTCACAATCATTCAATGCTACGCACCTACAAATAATACAGATGAAGAGAAAAAGGAGGAATTCTACAGACAACTTCAATCAACACTGGATAAGACCTCAGTTGGTGATATCAAAACTCTAATGGGTGACATGAATGCCAAACTGGGAGGGGACAACACGGGAAGAGAACTAACCATGGGTCGAGAAGCGCTCGTTGGTATGTTGAACGAGAATGGAGAATTGTTTGCAGAATTCTGTGCACTCAACGATTTGGTGATTGGAGTCAGGCAGTGTGTACAAAGACAAAGATATTCACAAAGCGACATGGATTTCCCCAGACACCTGTAGACACTAAAAATCAGATCGACTTCATCTCAGTCTCAAGAAAGTGGAGACGCAGCCAGCCTATCTGACACAAGATCAAGAAGAGGAGCAGATGTAGGTTCAGACCACTATCTAGTGCAAGGAACCTTCCAAATCAAGTTTAAAGCCTTCAAAGAAGTTGGTGATAGACCACATTTTAAGCCCAACACTCGCAAACTAAAGGACGAAACTACAAAGGATATTTTCACGTCAGCCATCAAGACAAAATGGGAGATATCAAGCAACATCCCTGAAGAAACCTGTGTGGAAGAACACTGGAAGTCTTTGAAAGCTATGTGGAAATAAACCTGCATAACCCTATTAGGAAGGAAGAAGAAAGAAGATAAGGAATGGATATCGACAGACACATGGAAGTTGATAGAGGAGAGGAGGATGGTGAAGCAGAAGATGAACCAGTGCAAGGATGCACAACGACAAGAGGAACTGAGTACAACGTATAAAACAATGAGCAAAGAAGTGAAGAAGAGTCCACGGAAAGACAAAAGACACTTCTACGAAACACTGGCAAGTGAAGCAGAACAGGCTGCAGGTAGGAGAGACCTGACAACATTGTATCAAATAACCAGGTTATCTTGGAGGGAAGAGATCATCGGAGATGAAACCAATAAAAGATGATGAAGGAAATTTAATTACAAAAGAAGAGAAACAAGGGAAACAATGGGCCGACCACTTCAAGAAGCTCTTGAATCGACCACCACCTGGACTTCGTCCAGAAATACCACCTGCAGCCGCTGAACTACAAGTGAACATAAATCCCCCAACAGAAGTGGAAGTCGTAAGCGTCATAAAGCTTCTGAGATGCGGGAAAGCAGCAGTACCAGAAGGAACTCCTCCAGAAGCACTGAAAACAGATGCAGAGACAACAGCGGATATCCTCACACCACACCACTATTGCAGAAGGTTTAGAAGAAAAGGAAAGCTACCTGTCGATTGGAAGAAGGGCTAATTTTTAAACTCCCAAAGAAGGGAGACCCCAGTGTTTGCAAGAACTGGCACGGAATCATGTTCGTGTCCACCCGGAGCAAGCAAAATATTAAGCCGCATCATTTTGGAGAGACTGAAGAATGCACTAGATTCAAAACTACGACCAGAACAGGCTGAATTCAGGAAGTACAAATCATGTGCGGACCAAATTGCGACGCTTCGCATCATCATAGAACAGAGTATAGAATGGCAGTCAACTCAACCCTCTACCACAACTTCACCGACTTTGAGAAGGCCTTTGACAGCGTTGACCGACAGGTAATTTGACAGTTGCTTCAATACTACGGAATACCGCAAACCTTCATCAATCTCATTCAACAACTATATGAAGACACCACATGCCAAGTAATTCACAATGTGAACCTCAGTGATGTTTTGGAGTGAAGACAGGAGTGAAACAAGGCTGCATGCTATCCCCCATGATATTCTTGATTGTAGTCGACTGGATCATGCAACAAACAGTGGGAAGCGAGAAGAGGGGGATACGCTGCTTGACCGCGGAAAAGAACCTAGAAGACTTGGATTTCGCCGATGACTTGTGTCTGATGTCACACAAACTTGAAGATCTGCAGGCAAAAACTAACAAGTTGATAGAAAAGGTGAGGTGTAAGGAGGAAATGAGAATTTGTGGGCTGTCGTGTCTACACGTTCTAAAGATTGCAGAGAACAGAGTAGAATGGAGACGTGCTACTGAAGCCGTATGTTCCAGTGGGAACCCATTGGACAAACAATAATAATAGTATGAAATCAATAAGTTCAACATAGCATATTGTCCAGTTGTACAGACGCTAAGTAGTAACATAATCATTCACCAATATATATAATTGTTTTTAAATAGTGCTGTCGTTGATTGGACCGAATTGATCGGTCTCTATTGGCATATGGGATCCTGTGCGGATGCCTCTATATTACCTGTGTTCTTATCATAGAAATAATGGATAGTGGGTAGCAGAGGAATCCAGGATGCGAATTTTGTCCTATTTGGGACCCGTCAGCTGGATGTGCCTGCTTACCAGTGCAGAGTGATGTTGTTCCCATCGATATTCGGACTCGGGAACGGTCGCTTCAAACGCCAGCGCGTTATCCACTACACCACCGAGCCACGATAGCCACTTCTTGAGCGACGGGTATAGTTTTGGTACGATTGCTTGTATTATACCATCGTTGATTGAACCGAATTGATCGGTCTGTGTTGTCATACGGGATCCTGTGAGGATGCCCCAGTGGTGCAGTGGATAACGCTCTGGCGTTTGAAGCGATCGCTTCCGAGTCCAAATTCTGGTGGGAACAACATCACTTAGCGGGAAGCGAGTACATCCAGTAGATGAGTCCCACTGGTAGGCTCTATCCATCATTACTATAATCATTCACTGTCAAGCCCACTTCATCATTATGACAACTCTTGAAGAGGATTAAATGTGTATGTTTGACCCCATCTCTTAGTCATGATCAACTGATATTCAACTTCTTCCGTTTTTTTATTACTAATGAAAAAAGAAACCTTGAAATCGGTAATTCACTAAACTTACATGGGTGGATCCCTTTGACCTATAGACAAAATGAAGACCATAATTGAAAATGAACTAAATAAAGTTGAAGACTAAATAAATAAAGTGCACATTTTCATCACCATAGGTTGTCTAACACACTTCCGACTTGTAACTCGCTTCTAGGCTTTCTCAACATATAACAAACAAATCACCTATGCATATTCCTTTTGTATTCATTTCCAACCAATTTTCTCATAGACTCTTTGTCTAAAAACTCAAATTCATCCACTGCCAAGATTACTGCAACGCAAACGAACATCATCAGAACCATAGAGATGAAATACTATGGCAATTTCATCCTTCTTATCTACTGATCACCTTGGTAACTGTGAACTGCACATTAAAGGTGTATCTTAGCAGTGTGTCCTTCAGGCACAGAACTAATTGTCAATTACCTAATTCGTTATATTCTATATTTTTTTCTGAAGAAGAGAAGAGAGGGATACGCTGCTTGACCGCGGAAAAGAACCTAGAAGACTTGGATTTCGCAGATGACTTGTGCCTGATGTCACACAAACTTGAAGATCTACAGGCAAAAACTAACAAGTTGACAGAAGAGGCGAGGCAGCGAAGACGAGACTTCAAGTGAATATAGAGAAGACAGAGGTGATGAAGATACCGCACCAACAACAACAAACTCCAGTCACCATCAACGGGAGAAACTTAAAGGAAGTAATCTCCTTCACCTATCTAGGCAACACTGTTTCAACTACAAGCGACACAGGCACAGACGAGGATGTCAGAGTCAGAATCGGAAAAGCAAGACAGGTGTTCATTAGCCTGAAACCAGTGTGGAGATCTTCTACACTCAGCATAGAGAACAAGATACGGATTTTCAACACCAACGTCAAGTAAGTGTTTCTGTATGGTTGAGAGACTTGGCGCGTTACGAAAGGGATTTCCAATAAACTACAGACATTCATCAACAACTGCTTACGCTGGCTCGCTACTGAAGATCAGATGGATTGCCAGAAAGAATAAGCAACAAGGAGCTCTGGGAACGAACCAACCAAGAAGCTGTCGCTCAACAAATATGCAGGAAGAAGTGGAGATGGATTGGGCATGCACTGAGAAGACCGACTGAGGACATCACGCGTCAGGCCAGTTACTCGAGTGGAATCCCCATGGGAAGCGACGAGTTGGACGTCCAAGGGTGACATGGAGGAGGTCGTGCGAGGAGGAAATGAGAGCTTCTGGGCTGTCGTGGGACCAGGTTCAAAAGATTTCAGAGAACAGAGGACACTGGAGACGCGCTACTGAAGCCCTATGTTCCATTAGGAACCCAAGGGACTAATAATAATAATAATATTTTTTTCTCCTGAAACCAAATAGTTCACTCAGTAAAAGATTTGTAAAAAGCAACTCAATATACTCCAAATATTATAGATGCAGTTTACAAACAGCCTACCATTTTCCCTAACTTTTGTCATGTCCAGGCAATTATAATTATGTGATTAAAAAAATGATTGAATCCCAACCTTATCAGAAAAATTTCTACTTTCTCCTTAATTGGTACATCTATTTCTTTATGGGCATAATGATTATAAATATTTTACACTAAAGTATAATATCACTCGAAGGTATATGCCACTTTGCACCACTCATGGTACCGAAGATAAATATGACTTCATATTAAAAGATGAGTATGTTGATCAGGATTCCACTGTCTTTTATTGTAACTCTATGAGAGATGGTCATTGAAGGTAAAAGATGTGAAAAGTTCACAGGTTTTTGATCACGAATGTCTTAGAAGCATTGGTATAGGTTATTGGATGAAAAAAATGTCAAGTCGGTCAACGAATTTATGAACCTTTGCCTACTGAGATGTCTTTCCCATGAGTGGCGTATGTCAAACCATTACCTACCTCTATGCCCAATCTTATCCAAATAAGGATGAGGTTGACAGAAGACTAAGGGTGGTCAAATCAACAAGTGGCACTAGTTGATGAAGTACTTGACCGTTAGTTTCGGTCGTGTAGTAAGAAGGACGCTCTCTGGCTGAGGTCGTCGAGACGATGAGAACTAACGTTTGCAGATATTTGGTGACAGGGCTTAAAATCGGTGACTATAACTCAGAGGGTATACACCTAATCATCTTCATCCGTGAAATATGGTAACAGGAACCGATGCATTTCTGGACTATGTTATGCTTTGATCTGTTTGTCTATCTTCTCACTAACTATTGACTTAAGGAAACCATTTGTCTTCGATACACATGCATCAAAATATTAGAATAGAATTCGCAGATAATATAGACCTGTTAGATGAAGATGCTAACAATATTCAAATTCTTCTGGACACCTTCAGTGGCAATTTGAGAATATTGAGAATGCGTTTCTCGCCACCCAAAAGACAAATTGTTGCTCTTGGACTGGTGTTCGACGATAGCCCGACTAACCATAGAGAGTGAAGTGGTTGGCCGCGTTGAGCACATTACTTAACTGCGAAGTTGGATGAGTTCTGGTGCGTTGGTCAGTGGCTGACGGAATTTCTGCACGGATATAAAAAGCTCGGTTGGTTTTCGCCAATTTACCCAATCCTTGGCGCCAACGCGATATAAGATTGTCTATTGCGAGTCGAGTGTGCTGTACTGCAATCCGCTCTGTTCAACTGTATGAGTGTGAAACATTGGCACTGAAGGAAGAAGACATGAGAAGGTTTCGGATGTTTTAACATGACTGCCTTCGTAGTATGGGCCTTGTTCCTTGATGTCACCACGTGAGTAACGCAGGAGTGAGGCGAGGAGTTTTAGACAGTATAAGTAAGTCAGTTGATACTGTTGTGAACGTTGATCAACTGAGATGACTGGTTGGCTGGCTGAGATATGTGTTGCGTATGCCTTCTCACACAATTTTTGTTAAAGTAAGTCCATGCTGGAAGAAGGGGTGGGAGCGGCCAGACTAAAACATGGCATCAATGCATAAAGTCCTTGACTGTTTGTTTGAGCCTTGTGTGGTGATGCAGACCAGACGGTTGGGGTCCACGAGACAAGAGAAACCACCACAGGTTGCAAACTGACTCTACCTGATATTGGCTTAGAACCGATGTCACTGACCCAAATCCAAACACATATTATCCTCATCTTAACCACTTCTTCATTAATCTCATCATCTTGTCGTTCTTCCTTCCTTCTCCTCTCTTACTACTTTCTGCTTCTGCCTCCTTTGACAGATTTTTCTCTCCTTCTTCATCTTCTTGGACTTTTCCGCAGTAATGCCTGGTCCTATGTTGATCATAGTTATAATTGATATTGGAATATTAACAGCTAACTAACTGAAGTAGTTATCACCAAAATGCATTCCTAATGTCCCAATTTATATTTGAAAACACAATAAACAGTTAAGATATGATCATCTTGAGTTATTCTGTAAACTGAATACACGGTGATTTACACTATTAACCAACTTACCTTGAACATTTTCAAACAAAATTACACCACACAAAACAAGTGTTAGTAGAGAAATTGTTCGAAGTAACATTGATTTTCACGTTACGTTAATAGGCAAATAAATGTATCACGCATACTTATATATTAACTGTGAGCTACTTCTGCAAATAATGTAGGCTAAAAGATTTGCTTATGAAATCTGATCTATTCGCACATAAATAAATATTAAGTTTTTTTGTAAATAATGAGACAGTATCTCATATTTCCACTATTTGTTTCAACAATTCAATAAAAATAGAAGTATAAATCTGGGAGTAAAACTTAGGCGCTATGGTAGATTGTAAATTCATTCTAATCTGTTTATTAGAAATGTCATATACAGTGAAGAGACAGTACTGGATTAAAACATTTCGGACACAATGTGTTGTCTATATCTCATATCAACAAGTAACTCTACAACTGTAAGACAGAGTTTATATAATCCTAATTTTCTCTCCTTCTCTATGATGATAAGTGAAGTATAATTTTCTACATATCCTGGTGTTGATTTGATGACAAATATTCGGTTATCAATCCCTCCCTCCCTCCCTACACTTAACTAAGTTAGTTTTTAATACTGTCACTCTATCCCACCCTAGTGTTGTTTAATTGCGTGCAAAGCTATAGCCGAGCTTCATACTGAAATTAATGGTGAAGATCTCTTCTAGAAAGACGATGAAAGCTTCTTCACGATTAAACAAGCAAGCTCAGAGAACACAATACAATCAAGACCATCCATCTGAGCTACAAATATTCTCCATTATTTCAAAATTATACAAGCGTGACACGCTTCACGTTATTCGAAGATGGGGAGACTTCTCCAAAAGACAAGCTTCCACAAAAAAAACAACTATTCTTTCTCCATGAGTGCCTATGTCAGCATGTTCTGTCGAAGCGTGTCAGATATAGACTTCAAACTGAAGTTAGTGCTGATGATGTCTTCCAGATAGACGATGAAAGCTTCTTCACGATTAAACAAGCAAGCTCAGAGAACACAATACAACCAACAGCTTTTCTCTAAATTCCTTATTTTATTGGGATCTATTAATCTCGATTTAGTTAAGCTTTTGTCCTCTGTTATTCTAATCTATCCTGGTCAACAATTTTGACCCATGTATTTCACCTCACAATCATTGCAAGGGATTTCGTAAACCAGATTATTTGCCTAATCGCTAAGTGTATTTCTAAGCGAGTATGTTGGTTTAAATGCCATTCTGATCCCAGTCAACATTATTGGAAATTCTACGTCATGCCTATGTGGTACCTTCTTTGTATGGTAACACAGTGGAGACTTTGAATCCTCTATTAACCCTGTGACCATTATTACTATTAGTAGTGGAATTATTATTAGTAACACTTGTATTACTACTACTAATACTACTACTACTACTACTACTACTACTACTACTACTACTACTACTACTACTACTACTACTACTACTACTACTACTACTACTACTACTACTACTACTACTACTACTACTACTACTACTACTACTACTACTACTACTACTACTACTACTACTACTACTACTACTACTACTACTACTACTACTACTACTACTACTACTACTACTACTACTACTACTACTACTACTACTACTACTACTACTACTACTACTACTACTACTACTACTACTACTACTACTACTACTACTACTACTACTACTACTACTACTACTACTACTACTACTACTACTACTACTACTACTACTACTACTACTACTACTACTACTACTACTACTACTACTACTACTACTACTACTACTACTACTACTACTACTACTACTACTACTACTACTACTACTACTACTACTACTACTACTACTACTACTACTACTACTACTACTACTACTACTACTACTACTACTACTACTACTACTACTACTACTACTACTACTACTACTACTACTACTACTACTACTACTACTACTACTACTACTACTACTACTACTACTACTACTACTACTACTACTACTACTACTACTACTACTACTACTACTACTACTACTACTACTACTACTACTACTACTACTACTACTACTACTACTACTACTACTACTACTACTACTACTACTACTACTACTACTACTACTACTACTACTACTACTACTACTACTACTACTACTACTACTACTACTACTACTACTACTACTACTACTACTACTACTACTACTACTACTACTACTACTACTACTACTACTACTACTACTACTACTACTACTACTACTACTACTACTACTACTACTACTACTACTACTACTACTACTACTACTACTACTACTACTACTACTACTACTACTACTACTACTACTACTACTACTACTACTACTACTACTACTACTACTACTACTACTACTACTACTACTACTACTACTACTACTACTACTACTACTACTACTACTACTACTACTACTACTACTACTACTACTACTACTACTACTACTACTACTACTACTACTACTACTACTACTACTACTACTACTACTACTACTACTACTACTACTACTACTACTACTACTACTACTACTACTACTACTACTACTACTACTACTACTACTACTACTACTACTACTACTACTACTACTACTACTACTACTACTACTACTACTACTACTACTACTACTACTACTACTACTACTACTACTACTACTACTACTACTACTACTACTACTACTACTACTACTACTACTACTACTACTACTACTACTACTACTACTACTACTACTACTACTACTACTACTACTACTACTACTACTACTACTACTACTACTACTACTACTACTACTACTACTACTACTACTACTACTACTACTACTACTACTACTACTACTACTACTACTACTACTACTACTACTACTACTACTACTACTACTACTACTACTACTACTACTACTACTACTACTACTACTACTACTACTACTACTACTACTACTACTACTACTACTACTACTACTACTACTACTACTACTACTACTACTACTACTACTACTACTACTACTACTACTACTACTACTACTACTACTACTACTACTACTACTACTACTACTACTACTACTACTACTACTACTACTACTACTACTACTACTACTACTACTACTACTACTACTACTACTACTACTACTACTACTACTACTACTACTACTACTACTACTACTACTACTACTACTACTACTACTACTACTACTACTACTACTACTACTACTACTACTACTACTACTACTACTACTACTACTACTACTACTACTACTACTACTACTACTACTACTACTACTACTACTACTACTACTACTACTACTACTACTACTACTACTACTACTACTACTACTACTACTACTACTACTACTACTACTACTACTACTACTACTACTACTACTACTACTACTACTACTACTACTACTACTACTACTACTACTACTACTACTACTACTACTACTACTACTACTACTACTACTACTACTACTACTACTACTACTACTACTACTACTACTACTACTACTACTACTACTACTACTACTACTACTACTACTACTACTACTACTACTACTACTACTACTACTACTACTACTACTACTACTACTACTACTACTACTACTACTACTACTACTACTACTACTACTACTACTACTACTACTACTACTACTACTACTACTACTACTACTACTACTACTACTACTACTACTACTACTACTACTACTACTACTACTACTACTACTACTACTACTACTACTACTACTACTACTACTACTACTACTACTACTACTACTACTACTACTACTACTACTACTACTACTACTACTACTACTACTACTACTACTACTACTACTACTACTACTACTACTACTACTACTACTACTACTACTACTACTACTACTACTACTACTACTACTACTACTACTACTACTACTACTACTACTACTACTACTACTACTACTACTACTACTACTACTACTACTACTACTACTACTACTACTACTACTACTACTACTACTACTACTACTACTACTACTACTACTACTACTACTACTACTACTACTACTACTACTACTACTACTACTACTACTACTACTACTACTACTACTACTACTACTACTACTACTACTACTACTACTACTACTACTACTACTACTACTACTACTACTACTACTACTACTACTACTACTACTACTACTACTACTACTACTACTACTACTACTACTACTACTACTACTACTACTACTACTACTACTACTACTACTACTACTACTACTACTACTACTACTACTACTACTACTACTACTACTACTACTACTACTACTACTACTACTACTACTACTACTACTACTACTACTACTACTACTACTACTACTACTACTACTACTACTACTACTACTACTACTACTACTACTACTACTACTACTACTACTACTACTACTACTACTACTACTACTACTACTACTACTACTACTACTACTACTACTACTACTACTACTACTACTACTACTACTACTACTACTACTACTACTACTACTACTACTACTACTACTACTACTACTACTACTACTACTACTACTACTACTACTACTACTACTACTACTACTACTACTACTACTACTACTACTACTACTACTACTACTACTACTACTACTACTACTACTACTACTACTACTACTACTACTACTACTACTACTACTACTACTACTACTACTACTACTACTACTACTACTACTACTACTACTACTACTACTACTACTACTACTACTACTACTACTACTACTACTACTACTACTACTACTACTACTACTACTACTACTACTACTACTACTACTACTACTACTACTACTACTACTACTACTACTACTACTACTACTACTACTACTACTACTACTACTACTACTACTACTACTACTACTACTACTACTACTACTACTACTACTACTACTACTACTACTACTACTACTACTACTACTACTACTACTACTACTACTACTACTACTACTACTACTACTACTACTACTACTACTACTACTACTACTACTACTACTACTACTACTACTACTACTACTACTACTACTACTACTACTACTACTACTACTACTACTACTACTACTACTACTACTACTACTACTACTACTACTACTACTACTACTACTACTACTACTACTACTACTACTACTACTACTACTACTACTACTACTACTACTACTACTACTACTACTACTACTACTACTACTACTACTACTACTACTACTACTACTACTACTACTACTACTACTACTACTACTACTACTACTACTACTACTACTACTACTACTACTACTACTACTACTACTACTACTACTACTACTACTACTACTACTACTACTACTACTACTACTACTACTACTACTACTACTACTACTACTACTACTACTACTACTACTACTACTACTACTACTACTACTACTACTACTACTACTACTACTACTACTACTACTACTACTACTACTACTACTACTACTACTACTACTACTACTACTACTACTACTACTACTACTACTACTACTACTACTACTACTACTACTACTACTACTACTACTACTACTACTACTACTACTACTACTACTACTACTACTACTACTACTACTACTACTACTACTACTACTACTACTACTACTACTACTACTACTACTACTACTACTACTACTACTACTACTACTACTACTACTACTACTACTACTACTACTACTACTACTACTACTACTACTACTACTACTACTACTACTACTACTACTACTACTACTACTACTACTACTACTACTACTACTACTACTACTACTACTACTACTACTACTACTACTACTACTACTACTACTACTACTACTACTACTACTACTACTACTACTACTACTACTACTACTACTACTACTACTACTACTACTACTACTACTACTACTACTACTACTACTACTACTACTACTACTACTACTACTACTACTACTACTACTACTACTACTACTACTACTACTACTACTACTACTACTACTACTACTACTACTACTACTACTACTACTACTACTACTACTACTACTACTACTACTACTACTACTACTACTACTACTACTACTACTACTACTACTACTACTACTACTACTACTACTACTACTACTACTACTACCACTACTATACTACTACTACTACTACCACTACTACTACTACTACTACTAATATTTTTCTTTCGATTTCTTATGAATTTTCGTGGGTAATTATTGAGACGTAAGGTATTCTTGATGTGTCTAATTTGTTGTCACAGATTTTCCGATCTACTAGTAAGCTTTTACACTCCATTACTTGGGCGGTTAATGAAATGGGATGGAAGGATTCGAAGTCTAAGTAGCGATTTGAATGAGAAAGTTCCCTATAGATGACATTATTCTCTTAAGTCATTTTTGTGTTCGTTTAATCTTCCAATCAATGCAACATTGCTAACTCACCTTCACTTTCTAAATTGGATTGCATTCACTACTGAATTTACTTGCCAAGAACCTTTTGAAGTGTTTCGATTTCAATACTGTACACGTATCATCTACATATGGAAACCATATCTTCGAAGTAGGATTGATTGCGTGGAGGGCTGTGCTTTTCTAACTACCCATAAGTGTGTCTGCGATGACAGAGGATATTAATTATTCGATGATAACCCCTTTGATTTGTTTATATATTTTATTCTAAAACTTACAAACTGTATACATCGAGGAAAATCATACTCCTATCATGATTTCCTCAGTCGGCACGTTAATTCGATGCGTCAGCTCATTGTCATACTTAAGCCCATTTCCAACTGCCTGTAGAACCATGTCGATCGGTATATTTGTGTGAAGGCACCCATAACTTAGTGGGGTAGAGGGAGAGATTAATAACCGAATCTGTTTGTCGAATCAGCACTAAATACATACAGTAATAGGAATGATTCTACACCTGTTCCAGGTATACAGAAAATTCTACCACTTCTGTCATCACAAAGAAGGTGAGAGAAGATTAGGAGTATATAAACTCTGTCTGGAAGTTGTGGAGTTACCTGTTGATGTGAATGTAGAAAATAAATTGTATCTGAAATGTCGTTATCCTGTAAATGACACTGTTCCTTCACTGTGTGACATTTCTAATAAACAGACTGAAATGGAAAAAGTAACAATCCTTTTTCTTTACCATTCCATCAGCTTCACACATATACAATCTACTCACTGTGTCACGTTATATATTACAGACTAAAGCTGCCTTGCTGTGCTATAGAATGTCAGATCATTATGAATCTAGATGACGAATCACGACAGTCAATTTCACGACTCCACGTATTATTTGTTATGGTTAATCTGTTACTTCAGGTTCTTTATATGAATGTAACATTAGCCGTGAAATTGAATATAATACGAGTAAATGCTATAAAAGGATGAATCAGTGAACCTCTCTTGGCACATAAACTGCTATGCTGTTGCCTTGATATAGCCGAAAGTTTAAGATGTTTTATTTAACCTGGTAACTAGCAGTGGAATCTAGGATGTACATTCCGTTCTACCCAGTACTCATTAGCTAGATATACCTGTATCCGAGTGAGAGACTGGAATCCAGTGCCCATTACTCCAATGCTTTATCTACTAGGCCACTCGAGCATGATATCCACCATAATTGATGCTCGTTGCACAAGATATGGCTATCGTTTCACAGTGTTGGGCACCAGGTTCGAGTCCCAGCGGAAAAATATCACTCACTGAGATAGTGGTACATCCATCTGACGAGTTCCGGGTGGAACGAAACGTGCATCTTTGATTCAACTGCTAGTCGCCAAGATAAACATGAGTAAATGTAATTACAGGAAATTGAGATAAACGATATCAACAAGGTTCCCTTCAACCTTCAGTGCTTCAGCTGCCTCATCAAAATACAATAATAGCTTAAAGTCAATCAAAAACTTGCTTCAAAAAAAGCTTGTGTTATGAAAGATTTGCAGTCATTAAGTCAGTGAAAAAAACATTTCAAGGATTCAACAATTAGTGATAAAATCCTTCACCTTTTTCGATTGGTTAAATATCTAGATTCATAGATATGTATCTATCCAGATAGAATACGCTTGATATTTCGTTTCAACTAACTTTAAACCTAATTCTGAACAACTGCTTGATCCAATTACTCTATATTCCTGCACACATGTTCATCAGTGTAATAAGATGAATTATACAGTAAGCACAGTGTCATTACAGCATTTCTCGTATGCTATACAAGAATAACAGATTTTGAGATAAAAATAGCGAGTAACGCCTTCTGGATGGTCTAAGCATCAAATAATGTACATAAAGCAAGAGATGAAGCTTTATGGCTGAAAATAATATCGGAAGTGCTTCTCTCTCTCTCTCTCTCTCTCTCGACCTATCCATAGTTTTGCTAAGGTGGCATGAATCGATTACATTTTCGGTGCCATCTTCACTGAGTGCATAGTGTAAAGCGTCAAATGTGAATAAAACATCGAACTTGCAAAAAGTCCATAGTTTCAGTATTTATGTATTTATATATGCTCCATTAAATTAACTACGAGTGAAGCAATTGTCCGACTTTACTTGTCTTATTAAATATGGTATTAAACAGGGAAATCGTACCATTTACTGAATGATATTTATACATCATAACCACATTAGGCTAGTAATGACACAACTCTGGTTTAGCTTAATGGTCTCATTGTATTTCGCGACACAGAAAATTCCCCACTTATACGTTATTTGTTTTGTTCCATTTTTATTGATTGATTAGATTTATCACACAGTGTAACAGTATTGTTTACTGGATTACGTTTCGTCATGCTTCATACTCATCATATCAAGATAACTACACAACTTTGAGATATCCTTTATATAGTCCAAGTTTTTCTCGTCTCTTTATAAGATGCGCAGTAACATTTTCCATATATCCGGAACAGGTGCTGAGTCATTCTTGTTGCATGTGTTAGGTGATGATTCGATAAACAAAGGTTCAGTTATCAATCTCTTCCTCCACCCTGTCCCATCTATTCTATTGTGTAGTTGTGTATAATCACATGCATAGCTATGGTTGAGCCTCCTTTTTCTACAAATTTCGATCTAGCTAAGTTTTTATGTTCCGATAGCCTAATTGATCCTGGTCGACTAGTTTAACTTATGTATTTCACCTCGTAATCATTGCAAAGGATTTGATAAACTAAGTTATTCTGCTTAATTGGGTCAATAGGATCTTTTAACCTACAAAGCTAATTTCGAAGTGAGTTTGTAGGTTTAAATGCCACTCTAATCCCAGCCTTATTGAGAATCCTACGTAGTGTTTCTGAGGTGCCTTCTTTGTATGGTAATACTGTGGAGGTTTTGAATTGTCTATTCACAGTATTGCCGCTACTATTATTAACATCATTATTACTATTATTGTTATTGTTATTATCACTATTAATAACTGTGTTACTGATAGTTTTCTTACAATTCCTAAGGAGCTTATCAATTAATTTGGCAAGGTAATTATTGATGATTAAGGTGTCTTTAATGTATCTAGTTTTAGATCTGTTTTACTAGTAAGTTTTTTGGCCCTGTTACTAAGACACTTTACTAAGCCAACTTTAACTGACTGGCATAGGCTGAGCTATCAGTTACTCTCCCTGTCTGTCTGGTTTCTGGTATTTTGAAAAGGTTTGTCTGTTTTATACATTTGTACAATACGAAGGAGAAGTTGATTGTTTAAAGCTTGTGATGCAAAAGGATGCGTCCAGTTTTTCCTGAACATTCTGGTCACACACTTGTCATACAATATCTCAAAAGAGCCATATGTATCCATAAAGTTTTTAATGAATTCTCATTCATTTTTTTTTGTATGTGGAACAAATTATGAATCCAATATAAAGTATGACTAGTAGCATTATTTTATCAGTTTTGATAGATACTTTACTAGAGACTTATTTATTATCATAATTATTTATTATTTTTCCCTTGGGTTCCTAGTGGAACATAGGACTTGAGTAGCACGTCCTCATTTCACTCTCTTCTCTCCAGTCCCGTTCCACCTGGCTCCACGACTGCCCTTAAGCTTCCATTTCTTCCTCACACCATCTCCTCCACGTCACTCTCGGACGCCCAACTCGTCCTTTCCCGTTTGGGTCTCACTCAACAGCCTAGCCTAGCGCCTGATGTCTCCAGATGATCTTCTCAACCCATGTTCAATCCAATCCATCTCCACTTTGTTCTGCATATTTGTTGGCTGATAGGTTCTTGCTTTGTTGGTTCTTTGCCAGGCCAGAGTTCCTCCTTGCTTATTTTTTCTGGCCATCCATCTGATCTTCAGTATCAAGTGAGTGTATGTGGCAGGTGTTGATGAATGTCTGTAGTTTGTTGGAAATGCTTTTCGTAACGCACCAAGTTTCTCAACCGTCACATAGAAGCACTGACTTACTTGACTGACTTAGTGTTGAAATCCGGATCTTGTTCACGCTAAGCGGAGTGCAGTGCAATAGATCTCCACACTGATTTCACATTAATGAAGGCCTGTCTCACTGTCTTTCCGATCCTGGCTGACTTTGACATCCTCACCTGTGCCTGTGCCACCTGTAGTTGAAACGATGCTGCCTACGTAGGTAGGTAGGTGAAAGAGACTACTTCCTTACAGCTTCTCCCACTGATGGTGATTGCTGCTTGTTGCTGGTTGGGTATCTCCGCCACCCATATCTTCTCTACATTCACTTGAAGCGTCGTCTTCGCTGCTCTGCCTCTTATGTCAACTTGTTGGCTTTCGCTAATAAATCTTCGAGTTTGCGCGACACAAGACATTAGACATAAATCATCATGGTTGGGGAGATCTAAATCTTCTAGGGTCTTTTCATTGGTCAAACAGACAACGTATGTCAATCTTCTCACAGTTTCTTGCATGATCCAGTCCTGTTGAGTCCGGTCGAGTCGACGACAATCAGGAAGATGATTGTTGATAGTAGGTGGTAACCTTGTCTTCCCCCCCCCCCCTCCTCCTCTCTTCACTTCAAAGGCATCATGGAGCTTGCCATTGTCAATCACTTTGCATGTAGCATCATGACCATCATACAACTGTTGAATGAGATTGGTAAAGGTTTGTGGCACTGATTGTGTAGTGTTGAAGCAGGCGAATTACTGCCGAATTACTAGTTGGTCGACGCTGTTGAAGGCCTTTTGAAAATGAATGAAGTTGAGGTAGAGATTTGAGTTGACTGGTATTTTATGCTGTGTTGTAT